TGTCATGATTAGATTCAATTCAAACAATGATCGATCTTCTAAGAACATATTTTAGTCCAATATATATAAAAGTGTTATTTTTCCCAAGACAACTCGAAAAATTATTTATGTAATGGCAATTGACGTATCAATACATGTTTATATGTCAACAATTGTATTAATATGGTTTTGATGATTATTAACATGATGACAACCTTTATTAGCATTGATATATCATCAAGACATATCTTGATCAGGCATGAATCTCGAGGCAAAATCAGGTTGGCTGCTTCAAAAATTAAATCTACGACCATCTGTACTCCGATTTCAGCAAACATACAGCCGAACTGAGCGTCTCGAAAATACGAACCCAACGACACCAAATTCAACTCAATCCGAGCACAAATGGGTCTGAATCGAAGACCCGAAGCTCTGTTGGAAGGTTCAAACCACAATTTGGATTACCAAACGGTTTCCAAACATGACATGCTGATAGTTGAATGGAGTGGCTCAACGAAACGAATCCAACGAGTCCAAAATCGCCAAATTTCGTTATCATTAAGACCTTCAAATGTCTGACGAACGGTCCATGATCAAGGGGTTCAATATCGGTCGTCCATCCAAATCACTCCCCATTTGCCCTTGATCCTCCTCCTATTTACGGGTCGTGCCACTCAGAAAAATATAAATAACCTGTGACGCCCCAAGATCTAACTTGGAAAGAATTTCGGTCAATTCATCAACAATTTACCAGAGCTATCTATAACTTCAATCAAACAGTCTAGCAAAAATCTATAACTTTTAAAACATCAATGTACAAGTCGATTCATATCTCAAAAGATCATATACAATACTCATGAACTACACTATGACCACAAGAACTGAAATCTATCATGTCCTGAGTACAAAAGAATCGCTATAATCAAAAGAACAAAAACCTGGAGATTCCTGATCAGCCTCAATCTCCTGCTCCCTTGCCCTGACCTGAAAATATTAACCACATATAATGAGCTTCAAAAAGCCCAGCAGGTCACCTAATACCTATAACTGAAATCAAAGCACAATACTGGAAACAATATGCATGTCAGTCAATCAAATCCATAACAGTCTATTGCACATGATCAATGAATCTATACAATTACGGAAATCAAATCAATAGTCAATGCAGCGGTAGAAGAATCAATAAGCAGTAAGAAGAAATCCATCAAACTCACCCAATACATTTCAAATCTCAGAAGAATCCGTAACAGTAGAAAATCAGTCGATCAGTTAAATCAATCGTATCAAATCGAATCAATCAAAACAATACTAGCTGGTCAATTAAATCGATCGAAATCAATACAATAAAACTCAATCTATACTAGCAATGAAACAAATACAGCAGTTCAATATATTGTAGAAGCAATAGTATCAATCAATATCAATGAATCCATAGTATCCATATCATATCAATATCAATATCCATAACAGTCTCAGTATCAATGCTCAGGGCCATAATGCGAATATCAATGAAATCGTACGATAACAGTAAGTCCGTAAATCCGTCAGTAAATCCAAATCAATAAGGCAATAAATCCAAGCACGAGTCAATGCCGTACACATGCATTTCAATACGATAGTCTTACTGAACAAGTACAATCACTGGCTATTCGATAATCCATAGTGCTGTTGTAGAAATCCATAATGTTGTTGTAGATATCCATACGTTGGTTCCATAAGAGTCGTCACTCTGTGCCCGTCGGCTGCCCGTCGGCATAGTAATCTCCTTATGACTCCCAATTGTTATATCAATGATCAATAGTTTAAAGGAAAGCCCGTCGGCCCACCATCCTGTACAGGTCAAGTCAATCTCCAACCAACGGTTCAATCAGGCTCCACTTGTCTTTCAGTATTCAGTATTAGAACAGTCATTTTCACATTCGTATACATATCAATTCAAATCATCAATTTCAGGAAAATCGGAAATCGTACGAAAATCCAGCGGCATAAAAGTAGTATACGGAATTTACACAAAAATTCCTAAAAAACACAATTCACCAAATTAATACAGAACGTGCACGACAACATTATAAGACTTCTATTCTACTGAAGCAACATCAATCAATAACCTGATAATTATCTATTCAATCAAAATCGCAATCTATTCGATCAAAATCGCACAGAACCCAAAATAACCGGTAGAATCGTTACAGAAAATACTCAAAACGTGTAGAATAATCATATCAATAACATATCAAAAGTTGTGCGGTGAAAGTTTCGTCAATACAAAATGCGGCGCGTTTATTGGTAACGAAAACACAAATCTGAGCACAAAACGACCTAAACTCGACATCTTCGAAAACAGAAATAGGATTCGGAGTCCTTACCACGAGATAAACAATTCTCTTAACAGCGGCGACGAACAAAAAGCGCTCCGCGACCTCCGAAATCCGACTTTTCCTTTGCTTTTCTTCTCTTTCTCTCTCCTCAGATATTTTGATTTTATAAAATAAAATTTCTCTCTCCTCAAATCGAGCTGATTTCCTTATAAAACCAGTCTGATCGTCCTGGCCGATCTCCACATCGTCCAGGACAATATGAACAATTTTCAATCGTCCAGGACGATTTTTCAGGACGATAATTAATTTGAAAAAAACCCTGGCTCTCGGGATTTTTGTCTTATCTGATCGTCCCAGGACGATCCCAATATCGGCCTGGACGATCCACTCCAGAAAATCAGCTGTTTCAATGCTCTGATAGTCCTGGACGATCTCAATATCGTCCTGGACGATCCTGGGAGAAAAATCAAATCCAGAAAGGAAAAATCAAAGGAACGAGCTCTCACATAACCCCTCATTTCTTTTAAGAGAGGACCTAAGGAAGAAGAAGAAGAGAAGAAAAAGAAGGAAGGAAGAAGCTCCTCCCTGACCACCGTCGGAGTTCCACCAGACTTTCAAATGACATCGGAGTTTCGCCCGACTTTCAAGTGACACCAGAATTCTGTTTGATCTCCAAGTGACACCAAAATTCTTTTTGTCCGATCTCCAAGCGACTATGTGATTCCATCCGACCACCCAACATCGTTGAATTTCAAATTCTTGTTTGTAACTGAATTTCAACCCGGGAGTTTATTATTGTAATCTGATCGTCCTAAATTTTAAGGACGAGTCAACCTCCTGTAACTCAAGCAAACACTAATGAAATTCTTTCAATTGGGCATGACCACATGGTTTTTCTCTTTCATGGTTTTCCACGTAAAAATCCTGGTGATTTATTTTTCTTATGTTTGTATGCTAGATATCCGTACAACGCTGAGACGAAAAATTCTAACTCTATCGTCGCGTATATTCTAGCCCGCAATAAGCATGATGATAATCTTTATTAATATGATAATGATAGTTGTCTACACATCAAGATGCTTTTTGGGTTTCATCTTGTGAAGTATAGAAAAGTTCATATATATGCTTGTCATTTATAATGATTTAGATCTTTTTAGATTTTGATGATGTCTTCTTCAATTTTGAGGAGTGCAGTCCTTTCTAATATAAAACTACAACTAATGGACATTGTTTTGGTTGGAATAAGCCTGTGAATTTTTTTTTTATGAGCTATCCACTTAAAAAAATCTTTGGTCCCATATTTGTCCAATTTACTCTTTTAGTTGTATGATGATCATCATTGATAGCTAAGATAATAAATTCTTTATCTTTCGTCACAATTTCTAACATGCAAAAAGTTTATTTAATCATTATTACCCAAAATTATTTTGAAATCTATTATTATTATGAAGCAATTTAACTTTGATTATATAATATTGGAGATATTATTTTAACTGTTGCCTCCTACCCATATTTGTGTTTTGTGTTTTTTAAATTTTGTTATCCCATGCAAAAAAGTTTAGATTTATCTATAATCAGGAATTCTAACACTAGACGTTTTCTATTTGTATTATTACTTAAAATTATTTTGAAAACGATTATTATTATGAAGAAATTTAGTTTTAATTATATAATATTAGAGATATTATTTTGAATGTTGCCTCCAACCCATATTTGTGTTTTCTAATATTTAAGATTTTGTTATATCTTGCCATGTTGTATTTTGTGTGTTTGTACCCCACCTAAAATATACACTTCTTAAAAATAACTTTTTATAGACTCCTGCACCTTTAAAAGACATTAATGCTATAAGATTTTACATGCAAATATCTTACTTTTTTTTTTGGATATATGAGTGACAGATTTAGGCCTCATTTGGAATGGCTTAATTTTGCCTTTTCCGTCTCGAAATGGAAAATTTATTTTTCAATTGTTGTTTGAATATAACATTTTGTAAAAATGCTTTTTACAAAATAGTATTTTTTAATTGTTTTTAAAAGCTTTTTGGTATGTGCTTCTCCGTTACAAACCTTCATTCTCTCAACCAGTGTTTTTAAAGCTAACTTTAACAAAAGTTACAGGGTATCCAAACGAAGCCTTAAAAGTGTGGTTTAAATTCGTGACCTAAGAAAAACAATCTTCCCTAACCATGCAAAAAGATCAGATCCTTTTGCGCTATGGCCTATTTACTTCACAATTTCAACTAATCATAACTCCATTCTCAAGCATTTCACAAGCAACATTTTTCCGATTCTGTAGCAAAACCAATTTAATTTGAACAAAAAAAGTTGTGTTAGGATATCTGGACATGAATTGTATTATGATGAGCTAGAAAACTATTGGATCTGCTTTACTATTAGTGCTGCATATGGAAATTTTATATTACGCTAAATTCAAAGCAAACTCAACAATGTTCAAGCACATCCTTATTCAATTTGTACCATTATAGCCAATGCAATATTAATATATTTCAAAATACGAAAAAAAGCTGCATTACAGACAATACATAATTCATTCATCAAACGTTAACACTGTAGATGACAATCTATAAGCAATCATCCATTTTCATCAATCAAACAAGAAAATCCTTCCTGCGTCTTCCGAAAAAGAACAATACCAACCGATGCGCACAAAAATTAAAATGAAAGGGGAAAACGAAGAGACCTTGTGGCGAGAGAGGAGATTGTACTCAGGCTGCTCGACAATGGGACCGACGAGATCCAACCGGCTGGCAACCGCCCAGGCCTCTGTAACCTGTTGCGCCGACCACTCGCTTGTACCCCAATAAAACGCCCAGCCACTATCAATCACATGGTTCATGGCGCGCACCGTCTCCTCGATGGGCGTGGCGGCGTCGGGGCGATGGCAATATATCACATCGACGTAATCCATGTCGAGGCGCTTCAGGGACGCCTTGGTGCCCTCCACGATGTGCTTCCTGGAAAGCCCCTTGTCATTAGGCCCTTGGCCACCCCAAAAGATCTTGGTGGAAACCACAAGATCTGAGCGCTTCCAGCCGAGTTCGCGAAAAGCCTGGCCCATGATCTCCTCTGCCCGCCCGTTGGCGTACACCTCCGCGTTGTCGAAGAAGTTCACGCCATGGTCGCGACAGCATTGGATGAGGGTTTTGGCTTCTTTGACGTCGAGCTGGTTGCCGAAGCTCACCCATGCACCGTAGGAAAGCTGGCTCACCTTGAGACCTGATCTGCCTAGGTTATTGTAATGCACTTTTGGCTCCGGTCACCTGACCCAATAATTTGCCCTCACCTTGAGACCTGATCGGCCTAGGTTATTGTAATGCATGGTGGGATCTCGGTGGATTTCTCACCCTTGCTGTGCTTTAGATCCGCTGAGTTTGATGCAAGGGAAAAGAATGCAGCGACTGGTAAAGCTCGCTCGGTACTAGGCTAATGGGAGAACAGCAAAAGGAAAGGCGGTTCACCTATTTATCAGCAGTTCGACATTTTTGCGCTGATCTGTGTTACATTCACTGTGGCACGAGTAACCGCCGAGCTGGAAATGAAGGGCTACAAGAGCGACAGCTGCAAACCGGTATTAATACCGTAAGGAGACCTTTCTCGCTAAGTTTACCATTTGTACTCAATATTGTGAAAGATATATATATATATATTTATATGCACACACCATTTTTTTTTTAAATAAAAAATATATATATATATATATACCATCTGTTTTTTATAAAAAGTTAAAAACACATTAAATGCACAACTTTTAACAATAATTTTTTAATTATTTCTTCTCTTCCATTGACTTACCTCTTCCCATTAAGATTAAGATGATCCCTATCACCGTCTTCATCAAGAGAAATTATTTTGTGCAGAGTCTGGACGTAGCTCTACCTTCGGATGCCAATAAAATTGTTACGCGTAGATTTCCGATGTTGATATTTATATGTATTTTGTTTTATTATTTTTGACTTTTTCTGTCTTGCAGCCCGACCCGACCCAAAATGATCGTCATCATACAATTCAATTTAAGGTTGGCACTTCTTTTTTCAAGATTTCAACTGTGAAGCTCCACAATATATAAAGTTTTTAGCTTAAGAAAATTTTCGCACATGATGAGAAAGAAAGAAGATAAAAAATAATGATTAAGATGAAGATTAATCTGAAGAAGGGCGTTTCTTTTTACGAACAGATGATATTCCCATAGGACAAGGAGGCCAAAAATTGGTATGCATATGTCCAAGAAGCAGAACAGTTGAAGCTATAGTAGCCGAAGAAAATTCACTTGAAATTAATAGTCATTCCGTCGGTAATGGTGTCGAACTTATCAAATACCAACGAAATTTCCAATGGTCTTAGAGCCACTGGAAATTCCACCGGTATTTGATGAATTTCTTATAGTGCAACTTCACATTTAGTTTTTAAATAAATGACAAAACTGTTCGAATGAACCTTATTAATGTCCTCCTTTTCAACTTCAACCTTAGCATGAATATTTGAATTATCAAAAAGGATCCCTCAACTTTTTTCATCTCATCTTGGGATTGACATATGCAGTTTTAAAAATTTTTGTTCAATTAATATCAAAAAATGTATAATATTAAATATAAGATAGTAAATAACTTACAATTTATAATGTATTTTCTTCCTATTATGAAAGAGTTGAATTCGTAGTGATGGATCAAATGAAAGATTTTTCACACTTAATTTCATATTTTTGGATAAATGAACATCCACTAAAATGCGTTTTTTATTTTACTCTTTAACCTTATTGCTATTGTCATCCATATTATTTGCTATTTTTGAATTCGAAGATCGCTTGAAATATCTTTCCATGATGTTCAAATTCGTACTCAAAGATGCCTTAAGAGTATATATCTACTAAGAATTCAAACAAGATAGCACATTCAAACAAATAAACGAGAACAAGGCTACTAGAGAAAAACTATATTTCATGCTCAAATATTGTAATTAACCAAAAAAGATTCGAGAGAGGAGAAGGTTGGGACTCGTGATAATTTCACTATTATCCGCGCAAGCGCAAGCATGAGAGCTGAGGCTAGGGAGGAGAAGGCTGTGGAACTCACCACCATGCCACACGGTTGACGCCGCCGGCCGCCGTCTAGGCCTCATGAGGAACGTGAGGCGAGGAAGAACCAAAGAAGGTTGCAGCTTGCGGCGCGATAGGCGAAGTTGCAAACAAGATAGCACATTCAAACAAATTAACGAGAAAAAGGCTACTAGAGAAAAACTATATTTCATGCTCGTATACTGAAATCAACAAAAAAATATAGCAGATTCGAGAGAGGAGAAGGTTGTGACTTGTGATAATTTTATGCTCCTAAATTGAAATCAACAAAAAAAAATATCTCGTCACTATTATCCGCACAAGCGCAAGTGTGAGGGATGAGGCTAGGGAGGAGAGGGCTGTGGAACTCACCGCCATGTCGCACGGTTGACGCCGCTGGCCGCCGTCTGGGACTCGTGAGGAACATGAGGCGATGAAGAACCTAAGAAGGCTACGGCTTGCGGCGCGATAGGTGAAGTTGAAACAAGATAGCACATTCAAACAAGTCAACGAGAAAAAGGCTACTAGAGAAAAAATATATTTCATGCTCATAAAAAAAAAAATTAAAAAAAAAAAAAAAATATTTCATGCTCATATACTGAAATCATGCAAAAAATATAGCAGATTCGAGAGAGGAGAAGGTTGGGACTTGTGATAATTTTATGCTCCTAAATTGAAATCAACAAAAAAAATATCTCGTCACTATTATCCGTGCAAGCGCAAGCGTGAGGGTTGAGGCTAGGGAGGAGAAGGCTGTGGAACTCACCGCCATGTCGCACGGTTGACGCCGCTGGCAGCCGTCTGGGCCTCGTGAGGAACGTGAGGCGAGGAAGAACATAAGAAGGCTGCGGCTTGCGACACGATAGGCGAAGTCGCGACCAGGAAAAACAATGTTGAACCGATAACCCCCTAGCCACCCCCCGTGCTTATCCCAATTAATTTTTTTGGCACAAAATACTAATTACAAGCACAACTCAATCTACTAAATATTCATGATGCAATATGTTAGCGAAGGAAACTTATTAAGTTGAGGTGATAACTTGGGCTACTTGTGGACAAGAGTAAATGTATTGTTACCTACGGTCCCCGTTGCTATGAGGGACAATTGTCGGCCCAAAAATTCTCTCCAATAACATATAGGATTTTTGGGGTTACACTCTCGAATGTTTATTCTTTTTTAGTATATTTATACATATATGCATATTTAATTAGAATGATGCCCTGAGGTGTCTACTAAAGTTTATTTTCAAATGATTTTTGTCTCCAAAGCATTATGCAATATATTATTTTTGAAAAATTGATACAATTCCCTTGACTTATAATAAGAATATATTTCATCTACAAAAAATTTTGGATTTTGTTTAAGTTCAATTTATAAGCCATCATGGCTGCATAATAAAACATTCAATATCTATTTTATATGAATATTTACCTTTTTTAATGAATATTTTAGGTGTGAAAATTGGAGGTTGCTTATTCAATTTGAATTCCTTAAAAAAATTATACTCTTTATAGAAGTAACTTCTCCAACCCCACTTGGTGTTCATTTTGTAAAACATTTCATATGTACTATTTTATAGCTATTTTTTCATAATTTTTGGAGTTAAAGGATATCAATATATAAAAGGAGTTATATGAACCTTACAATTAATTCCCTCTTTTTTTTCTAATCACAACTACAACTTTTATATTTTTTTAATTATATAAATATTCATACGTGTTAAATCATCATTTCCAAGCCATTTATCATGAGAGCTTAGTGAAAAAAAGGGAGAGGAAAAGAGAAAGAGCATAGAGCGAAAGCTTTGGTTTGGAGGTCTTAGGCTTCGTTTGAGACAACTTTCTAATTGCTTCTTGAATCAATAAGAAAGTCGTCCCAAACAAAGACTTGGAGATATTTTTCTGAGGTGGTCCAATTAGGAAAATTTTTGTCTTAAGATAGATTAATGTAATCCTACTTTTATTTCTAGTGATTTTATTTTTATGTATTTTTTGCATTTAATTTCTATATATTTTAGCTAAATAAAGATATATCATAGTGATAAAGGTTGCAAGTTCTTGGTTAGTGATACTTTGCAGCCATGTTGATATTATAGTTTGGAGAGATTATGCCATGATTATTGTATATGAAGTTTTTTTATTATTATTATTGTATAGTTTTGTGATACAAATTGAACTAATATTAATGAATTTATTTTATCATTACATCTATTTATGTATTATTGGCTCTGAGTTCTGATAAATAAAAGGTTAAAAAAAAAAATCTTCAAAATAGATAATAGGTATTTATTTGTTATTCATCATACATGATATGATCCACTCCAGTGTAAGAAGGGTCATGCGGTTCGGGACATGACACATAATCCATATATATATATATATATATATATATATATATATCCTTAGTTCAAATCATATATGAATCGTATTCAAACCATATTCGATATGATTCAGATATAGTTCAAACAAGATTTGATCATTATTGTAACATATAATATGAAGATTAATGCTGGTTAGAGTATAGTTTGAGAACAAAATTTAATTTTACATCTAATAGTCAAATCCTATTTTTAAAATGAATACTCATTTTTGTTTTTTGTTTGTTTAAAATCCTCATAGGGGCCTACACATTAATTGGGTAAAAATTACAGGTCCTTAACAAAACAAAAGCTCCCTAAAAATACAATATCTAAAATAAAACCTAAGATCCATTGCTCCAACCTATTACAAGAAATAAACAAAATAAAAAGAGAAAACCAAATCTAACCAAAAAGAACAACTAAAGGAAACAAAGGCCAATAATGCAAAAGCTCCGATAGAAGCTCCAGGCCACAACAATAAAAAAGAAGTCAAGGCCAACACAGCTAAAGCTCCTCCATAAGCTCCATGCTACAATGATCTGCATGGAAGGAAGATGAAGCTAACCAACAAAAATAAGGACCAATAGACCAGCCACAAAGCGAACACCCCAACTGATTCCAAACCCAAACCCACCAGTCGAAAGCCAACCAACCAACACCACATAGCCTTGCAATAAAAAAGAACACCCCAACTGAGCAACCAACCCAAAAGCCAATATAACAAAACAAAGCCCCACAATGAAGAAACCACACCAACTAAGAGGTAAGCCAACAACACAAGACAAGAATTACTTTTTCTTAGTTTTTCTCCTGCCACATTTTCCACCACCATGGGAAAAGGCTTTTTTTAACAATGTGACCCACATTCAAGCTATATATCTCCTGAAACTCATCCAAATCTTCTCCAACACCCCCGCAAGCTGATGAGGACTCATCTGACTAATTGGATTGATCCACACAAGTGTTTATCATTTTCAAAGCCAATTGAGCTTTCAAAACATTATTAGAAATAAGAGAAATATGAGCATCAATTAATGGCACGTTCCCATTCGTAAGCACAATATTAGGCACCAAAGTCTGTTCAAAATCAACCAAGGGTGAGTCATGAGAAGCAATAATCATATCGCTAGATGGATCATTCAACACCACCGTATTAACATCATAACCACCGTATTAACATCATACACTCCTATGTTCATCACAACTAAATTATCATGACAAGAAGCAAGAACAAATTCCATAGGATCCTCCTCAATAACAATAGTAATAGGTGAAGCAACAAGTATAATCTCACTATATGGCGCTAGAGCCAAATTGTCATTAACCTCCTTATTAATATCCCCACAAGCCTCTTGAAAGAAACATGACAAATCCACAATATTCTTCGAAATAGGAACAAATAGCAGGAAGAACCATATGGGCATCTGAAACCACCAATTCGGGCTCAACTGAAATCCCACATCACCACCAATCAAAGGATGACACAAAGGCTCATCAACCAAATGACCCGCAACATCAAGATCAACATTTACATGCAAAAGTAAATCAACAGAAACATTGCCAAGCACATTTCGATGCACTTCATTAGAAACCTTGCTTCCCACATTAACAACAATAGGAGTATTATCAACATGAGGATGTGAAATGCTACATTCCATTTTTGAATGCCCCAACAATTTACAATGAGAGCAGTAAGATGAAAAATCTTCCATAACTATAGACTGAATGTAACCTAAGTTTTCGGGACCAACCCAAACCCTACCCGGAAAGTTTTTGTGACATCTAGCTCAACAAAAACACGCACGACAGAAGGCTAATAGCTTGTAGAAGTGGCATTATCAGTTTTTAGAGATCGACCAAATAGAGAACCAAGACCATGAAGGATTCATGGATCAAAGGTGAGGCCTCAAGTTGGGAAACAAAACACAAATCAGAATTATGGGGTGCTCAACTTCAATATCAAAAGTTGGAGTCAATTTGAATAATTTCATAAAACAATTGTTCACAAAGTAAGAACAATAAGCAAATACTCTACAATAATCTATATCATTAACAAGCTTAATCAACACATGCTTCGGGTTGAGAATAGTAACCGAGAAATCACCATTAAGTTTGAGGTTAAGGAAAAATTTCCTGATTGCATCAAAAGATAGTCTCCGACCCCAAAATTTGCCAACCAAAGTAAACTCAAATGGGGCATACTCAAATTTTATTATTATTATTTTTAATACTCAAATTTTATTTGAACATGGATCTAACATTAAAATTGGGTTCAAATTTTAATTATTATATTATAGGTTTCTTCTTAGTCTCATTGTTATTATAGTGTAACATTTATGGCATAAATGAATTCAACATACATAATTAATTATATAAAATCATTAATCTTGAATATATAATTATTGTAAAGTAGAGGCTAACATTGTGAAGCTTATCCCATATCAATCGAGCTCAATGATTTGTGGAGATAAAGAAGGTGATATGAAAATAGAAGTTTGAGCAACCCCTTGTTCAAAGATTCGTATGAGTAATGACCATGAGAGTTAAGACTTCTAATTTTTATATAATAGTGATATTTTGATCCAAAATAAAATTCTAAATATATATTTTAAAAATAAATAAATAACAGAGATCTTTAATTAATTAATTATAAGTAAAAATTCTTTAAAAAAACAACTAAATGTTTCGTAATTTTCCAAGCTAGACCTTCCTAGCCAGGAGCCAAGAAAGTGAGAGACAGGAAGTGGAAGAAGCCGAAGAAGGTGAAGAACAGAAAGTAGAAAATTTCCAGGCTTATCTGTCGAATTTCGTCTCAGGCGTCGTCGGCCTTATTAATTTCTGTAACATTCTTTATTCCCTAAAACTTTCCACTTAATTTAGAGTTTTAGACTATAGGAGAAAATAGTTGTCCCCTCCTGTTGAAGTTCAAATCCCGTAAATTTCTTTGTGGAGTTTTTCGCGTTTTCTGTGTAGATCCGTAGGTTTGCCTCCGATCGTGGGAAGCCAAATGGTTCCTGGAGGGAGGATGAAAGTTGAGGTTTGGAACTAGTGAAGAGGTGCAGTTGTGGCGTGGCTGTTCGAAATTTTGAAATTTTCTTGATGGTTCTTACTCCTTTATCAATGCAAGATGAATATATGATAGAATTGGTCGTTAAACAACGTCTGATTTGTGGTTTTGCTCTTGGAATGATTTCCATTTATGGTAAATTGTTTTTATATGTGCGGTTTGGGTTTGCTTGATTTGCTGGTTTAGGCTTTGTTTTGGAAAACAGATGTTCTGCTGCTGGATGATAATATGCTGGAATCAGTGGTTACCGTCAAGAGATGTGCTTGACACTTAATCCTTGGGTCATCGGAGGCATTTTTGTGGTTAAGAACTTATTTATTTCCTTAGGGGCTGTTTGGCTACAAGTAGACTTTAATTCATGTTGAATTCAGTAATTCCTGTGAGTGATGCCTTTGACTTCTTATGTGTGATTAGAATAATGCATTAATCAATTACCGATTAAGAATAACATAATTTTTTACTTACTGAACTTAAATTGCTACATGTGATTTCGACAAATCAGTGCTGATTTCGTGTCTCGCTGCATCTCCTTGAATTCTCTTTCCATATGTTGCATGTATATTATGATGAAGCATCAAGACATAAGCCAATGATAATGTCAAAGATCAAGGCTTTACATCAAGTTTTGGGTTGTTCGTCATGTACAAGTCTCCATACAAGCCCGTTATAATTACTTTAAAGTTATGGAAGAATAATCAAGAATCTTAAATGGAGGCCCCTTGATGGGTAGGCGGGTTGTATTAATCATGGAGGCAAAGTTTTTCATAAATTATTTAATTTCATGAACACTCTACTTGTATTATTTGGCCAATTCAAATTTTGTAATATTTAAAAATTTTAAATTTTATTTTATTTCTCAAAATCATTAATAAGAGTACGCGTTTTAGATATCTTGGATCTATTTTTCAGAGTGATGGTGAAATAGATGTGGATATTATCAGCATAATTCAAATTGGATGGTTGAAGTGGAGGAATGCATCGGGCTTGTTGTGTGATAGAAAAGTACCCTTCAAACTTAAGGGAAAATTCTATAAGATGGTGGTGAGGCTTGCAATGCTTTATGGTGCCGAATGTTGGGCATTAAAAAAGAAGCATAATACTAAGTTAAGTGTGACAGAGATGAGGATGCTCAAGTGGATGAGTGGCTTTACCCTTAGAGATAGAATACGAAATGAGCACATACGTGAAAAGGTTGGAGTAGCTCCAGTAGAAGATAAGATTAGAGAGAGTCGCCTTAGATGATTTGGTCACATAAAACGGTGGCCTCCCGATGACCCGGTTAGGAGAGTAGATGTATTAGATTTGACTTATGTTAAGAAAGGTAGAGGCAGACCTAAAAAGACTTGGTTAGAAAATATTAGGAATGACCTTTCTTTATTAGATTTAAACGAGAATTCGACTTTTAATAGGACACAATGATGAAAAATGATTCGTGTAGCCGACCCCACTTAATGGGATAAAGGCTTGATGTTGTTGTTGTTGTTTTTTCTTTATATTATGACAAGTCATCAATCCATATAATAGTATTTTATTAGTTTGTAAGGCTTTCTAAAGTTGTCTAGGCTTAAAAATGCCTATGAATATGATACTGCTTTGAACTTTTTGATTTATTAAATAAAAATCATTTTTTATTTGTGAATTTTGTGTTGAAAAGCTTGGTTGTTGCTCTACTATTCGGTGAAGTTTGGTGGTTAATTCCCTGGTGTTTTGGTGAGTCCTTAGTTATGTTTTCTCACTTTTATTCTTCCTCTTTTTCAACACAATTTTCATCTCCTCAATTTAGTCTCAAGCCTAGCCTCCCTAAACCCCAAAAAATATTCAACATCTTCAAACTCTCTTAAATAATCCCCTCATCTCTTTTAACTCTCTAAAGCCTCAACTCTCCAATACCCTAAACTCTTCAATAATCCTAAGGTAACATAGTTAAAATCCCAATATAGAGAGATTATTCACTGTTGTAAGTAATCAGATTAAAAGTATCATAACTCCTTAACCACTGATCCAAAATTCATAAAAACATCACAATTAGTTCTCTAATATCCCAAAATTTGATATGAAGTTCCTCCCTAATTTCCTCTAAGAAAAACTTAACTTTTGTTAGCCTAGAAGTTTCAACACCAAATTTATTCAAAATTAAATACCCATTTTACCACTCAAATAACCCTTTCACTCCATTTTAAGGGATACTAATCAAGTTATTGATTTTACCATAAAGATCCTTTATACCATATATCATGTTAGAGTCTTTATCATTGATTCAATCTCACCAAACTCACCATGGTGTTGCATTTTGGTTTAAGACATTGAAATATGGATTGTGTATGTGGTAGTTGCCAATAAAATTATTCAATACCACTTAAGTAAGCATAATATTGCATGTATAGTTAGAGATAATTATTGAATGCGAGTTTGCACTTGAAACCTCTCTTTTCAAATACAAAAAATTTTCTCCACTATGTTGTGTAGTTGAGCATTACGATGATTATACAATTCTTTCTTGACTGAGTATCTATGTGATGTGCCTCTCTTTTCAATATCCCCTAAAGAGTGTCATATGCTTATTGTTGTAACGTTGCTGGAGTCAACTTAGTAGTATTTTCCCTGTGGTACTTTGAACTCTTTCTCATTCACTAGCCATTATAATACCCTCATATCAGTTTTAGTCCCCTCCTCAAACATTTAAATATTGTCTATGGGGTGTTTCAATGAAATAATTGCTTAAAAATCTTAGCATTTTCATTTTGTTTGGCCAATAGTTTATTTAAGGTCTCCTTATCAACCTTCCTTTTGTTGCGACATGACATGTGCATCATAGCTAGATGGTTTGGATCCACTTATGGGCCTTGAAGAAGATTGAGCTTTTGTTTCTTCATTCAAGTTTGGATCAATTTGTACCTTCTGCCCATCCAACCCATTTGAGAAGCTTACTCCATATGTAGACATGAAGTCATCCACAATAGGTTCACTTCCTCTCATACTTCTTGGCCTTTAGGTGTGGTTTTCTTGGTACATCAAGCCATTGTGCGTATTGCAATATTATCAGCATAAATCTTATTGAAAATGTTATACTGATGGAAAGAGTTCATATCAAAGCGTGCTATTTTTAGGTTCTCTTTAAAAAAATTACATGTGCTTAGTTAGATATTGGTAATAGCAGTCTCTTTTTTTTATCCTTATACCAAAAAAAAAGTAAATACCAATGTACTTGAATGATCCATGCTCATATCCGATCATTTACGATTGGGATATGCAATTCTCCATTGCAACCTTTTTTTTTTTTCTTTTTCCATTGCAACCTTAGTTTTTTTTATTGAAAATTAATATAACATTCTAAAGTCTGACTTCGTATTTTTAAAATTAGTTATAACAACTGCTTCTTTATAATTGGTTCCTAAGCATAGATTCAATGCATTTATAACATCTCACCATAATTTTTTCTTGAATAACTATTAGACATGTTCTCGAAGAGGAATTGTTCTAGAAGTATTTCACCAAAAATAATCTTGTATCGATCAGACCACTTAGGAATTCTAGTTGAGCTCTTGGGCCATCCATTGTGGATGGACACATCTTCATTAGATAGTTGGTGCAAACTAAAACTACTAGTCAGGCTTTTTCTCTTGGAAAAAATGAAAATTTTGCTTTAATACATTATTAAGTGGGAGTTTTAAAAGAGAAGTTATTTTAGAGAATATTTATCCAAAAAAATTGAAGTGAATTTTGCATTAAAAGGATGCATAAATAGAATGATCTTGGTAAGTATGAGATATTTATTTAAATTTGGAAAGCTATGTGTGATATTTTAGTGTTCTTATTAACATTTTTTTTCATTAGTATTGCGATGACTAAGCAGATACCAGATGTCTTACCAAATGAGATTTAATATTACTTTAACTATAGTGGAATTAAACTTTTGAGTCTTAAAATGAAGTTATGATAAAGAGTAATGTCACATTGACTTAAGAAAATTACATTTCTTCAATTTGGTTTCATTTGAGGAAGATCCTTCGGGGAAGCTTTTTTTTTGTATCAATACAATGAATGGAAAAAGTATAGAGTAGAGAAAATGATTATCTTTTATTTATTTATTTTTAGAAGGTATGATCGAATATCATGAGAATTAATTTGGTGTGCATAAAGTAAAAATGACAAAGGTATGGAGATTGTTGAAGATATATATGATGGAGCATTATCTAATATTATAATTTTTTATGGAGTGACCAAAGACTTCTTAATTATAGTAATATTACATTAATGATCAATTATGAGGTGCCATGCTTTTCACATATGATTAGTTTAGTTGGTGACAGGTTCATCAAATAAGTAAAGTTAGAATCATGTTGAAAAGTTTTAGAAGATAAAATGCTAAGCATTAGTGAAACAAAGATTGAGTATATAAAATGCAATTTTAGCTGGTGTGATATTTACGATTACAATCAATAGTACTAGAAGATAAAGTGAGATATAAATGTGACATGTTTAAGTATTTTGGATCTATTTGATAGAACAACAATGATTTAAATGAAGATAAAGCTTTCAGCATTGAGACTAATGGTTAATGGAGAAATGTGTTAGGAGTTTTATGTAATAAGAGAATATTATTGATATTTAAAAAAGGAATCTTATAAAGTTGTAATTAGATCATATGTATTATATGGATTTAAATTTTGAATGGTAAATGTTTTGGTGACATCCAAGTGGAGTATGGTGAAAATAAGAATGTTAACGTAAATACATGTCAAAAATAACAACAACAACAACAACAACAACATCAAGCCTTTATCCCACTACGTGGGGTCGGCTACATGAATCCTTTTTCTCCATTGTGTCCTATTAAAAGCCAAATTCTCGTTTAAATCTAATAAAGAAAGGTCATTCCTAATATTTTCTAACCAAGTCTTTTTAGGTCTACCCCTACCTTTCTTAACACAAGTCAAATCTAATACCTCTACTCTCTTAACTGGGTCGTCGGAAGGCCGCCTTTTTATGTGACCAAACCATCTAAGGCGACTCTCTCTAATCTTATCTTCTACTGGAGCTACTCCAACCTTTTCACGTATATGCTCATTTCGTATCCTATCTCTAAGGGTAAAGCCACTCATCCATCTAAGCATCCTCATCTCTGCCACACTTAACTTAGTATTATGCTTCTCTTTTAATGGCCAACATTCGGCACCATAAAGCATTGCAGGCCTCACTACCATCTTATAGAATTTTCCCTTAAGTTTGAGGGGTACATTTCTATCACATAACAAGCCCGATGCATTCCGCCACTTCAACCATCCAACTTGAATTCTGCTGATAATATCCCCATCTATTTCACCATCACTCTGAACAATAGATCCAAGATACCTAAAACGTGTACTATTAACACTGCCGTTGCCAGGTCCCAAGTCCTGGATGAGAAAAGTGGAGGGTTGCGTTAGGTAGTCGACAGCCAGCGTAAAACTTGTCGAACAAAAATGACATGAATCCTTTAAGAAATACATGTCAAAAATAGGAAGGATAAATTGAAGAAATTGTTAAATCACACAAATGTTGTTGAGATAGTTGCTACTTAGTTCTTGCCTTAAGTTGCCTGTTTGATATTCTTGCAACTTGTATGTTTTTTATGATTCCAAGTATTATTGCTTTGATTATTATTTCTCCTAACAGATTTTGGAAGAATTGTTTTGCTCTTGTGTGTACTAATATTTTAGGAAAATCATACTCTGGGTTGTTGAAGACTTCAAATCAAGATCAATTTAGAGTTTACTGTAATTGAAGTATGTATTTTCCATTTTATTGAGTATGAGAGAGTGTGATTGTAATTGAGTAACTGAGCACACACATACCGGGGGAGAGTTTAAAATTCACATTTTTTAAACTGATCGTACTGTACAATATTAGTTTGTACGGGATGATATGGTCAGTTATTTTTTTCGAAGAGCAGTCGAACGAACATAAATGAAAATTTTTCTAAGTATGGATCGTACTGTACGAACCTAGTTCATACATGCCTTCTAGAGTACAAAATGGACAAGTCCTTGTTCGCTCAAAATTAAAATTTTCTTAAATATGAATCGTACTGTATGAACCTAGTTCGTACATGCCTTCAAGAGTACAAAATGGACGGGTCTTTTCTCACTTAAAATTATTTTTTCTAAGTTTAGATCGTACGGGATGATCACAGTTCGTACATGCTTTCACGAGTACGATATGGACGGTTCCGTTCTCGCTTAAAAATATTTTTTCTAAGTATGGATCGTATGGGACGATCCCAGTTCATACATGTCTTACAGAGTACAAAATTGTGAGGTCTCTTTTCGTCCCGACGTTTCGTTCAAATGAATTTGAAAATTTTTATAGCTGATCGTACCGGATGATGACGTCATCGTACATACGCAATATAGAGTATGAAATATTGGGGCTACTTTTTGTACCGATGAACTTGAAAAAATTTTCTTACTGTTTGTCTTGGACGAACATGGTTCGCATCGAACGATGATCGGGTATGAAATGATTTCGTACCGATTCACAACAGGTTCGTACGCAACAGTGTTTGAACTGTTCGTACGTACGAAATACGATCGTACGTACGATCGTGTACGCTCAAAATTGAAAACTTCAATTTTCTGGACGGTTTTTCGTGTCTTTTGTATAAAAGGTCCACTAAAAAGTAACATAAAAAGTCTTGTCTTCGTGATTTTTTAAGGGCAATTGAAGAAGAAAGTGTTTGAGAGAGATTTCTTACAAGTGGAGTGTGAAGGGTTCCTAAGGTTACTCAAAAGTAAGGGTATCTTTGTAATTGTGGTTATCACTCTTCCTCTTGTCTTTCTAGATTGCTCGTGAGAAGATCTTTGGAGAAGATCCAGTACTCCGCCGACACTTGGAGAGTGTGAAAGGACGAAGGTACTCTACCAACACTTGGAAGGTGTGAAAGGACGAATGTTCTCTGCCTACACTTGGAGGGTATGAAAGGACGAATGTTCTCTGCCTACAAATATAGCTTATAGCCGCCTTTTAGTCAAGAACTTCATGCGAGTCTTGAAGTTCCTGATTGAGAGTGAGTACCCTTGGTGAGTTCTTATGGCGAAGTCTTGGGGGTTATCAAGCACACTAGACAGGTGACAAAGTTTCTTGGGTGAGTAGCTTTGACTAATTCAGTAGTTTAGTATTAGGGATTGAGTGATATCTAATTCTCAAGTGGGTTGAGATGACTCAGTTTTTTAGCAAATCACGGCTTTAGGCGACTTTAAAGCTTGTTGAGTTCCGAGCTTTAGGTGATTCAACAAGCTGATTCTGACTTGTTTAACTTGATATAAGCACTCACTTTGATTTGATTAACCTAACTTTAATCGAATGCAAGTGTATATATAGATAAATTAGAGTTGAAGGCTTGTGAAGGGAAAGAGTAACCCCAGGTAACATTAATAGAAATTGCTCAAAAAGATTTAGGTAAAATAGGGTTTAACACCTCATGGAATAATAAAAAAATTTGAATGCATGTAACATAACCTAAATGTTTGGGATATGGCTAATTATGATGCTGAGTAATTTGTATTAGTTTTTTTTTTTTTTTTAATTTCATAGAATAATTTATGTAAATACAGGTGTAATCTGAACTAAAATCTCTAACTGAACACCGAAACTATCAAAATTGACACTTATATCTTAGGAACAAAATCGAAACCTAAACAAAGTTTGAACTCCTTGAGCAAAATATTGCTCACATTTGCTGCCGTAATTCCATTCATGGTACAAATCATTTTGGTGAATGTGGTTGATTAGGCAAGTTTAACATGAGAATTGGCTTGCTGTAATGCTCTAAACTTTTTATGCAATTAATAGAGATGGAAGGGATGAAGGAAGGCACATCCAACAAAGTTGACATTATTCCTCTTCAAAAAGAATGGGATGAGGTTTCCTGCCCAATCTGCATGGACCATCCTCATAATGCTGTCCTCCTATTCTGCAGCTCACATGAGAATGGCTGCAGATCGTACATTTGTGATACCAGTTATAGGCACTCAAACTGCCTTGACCAGTTTAAAAAATCAAGAGTAAATCATGAGGATAGCTCTTCTCTTTCAAGTTCCCTAGTTCAAGAGAACTCAACTGTTGAACAAAATGATAATAGGATTCATGAAACCCTGACATCTTTGTCCTTTTTGACAAGCCCAAGGATGACAAGGAACTCTAATGAAAACCTGAACCATGCAGAAAATAGTAACAGAATAATGGCACAAATATCTCAAACAAGTGAAGAAAATGGCAGCAGCCAGCAAGATAGAATTGCAGCAACTCAGGTAGATGGAACAATCAACCATGATGGACACAATGTAGGGAACATATCAAAGTCTGGCAGCTTGAAGTGCCCCCTTTGTCGAGGAACTGTTTTGGGCTGGATGATCGTTAATGAAGCAAGACAGTACTTGAATCTTAAACCAAGGAGTTGCTCTCGCGAATCATGCTTGTTTACTGGTAACTATATGGAGTTGCGACGGCATGCTAGGAAGGTTCACCCATCTTCAAGACCTGTTGATGTAGATCCATCAAGACAGAAAGCCTGGCGCCGCTTGGAAAACCAGAGGGAGCATGGCGACATCCTCAGTGCCATAGGATCTGCCATGCCAGGTGCAATTGTGCTTGGGGATTATGCTATCGACAATGTTGATCCTCTATCCCGCGAACGCGATTTTGGTGGGGTTGGTGGACCATTGTGGTCCACTTTGTTTTTATTTCATATGATTAGCAGCAGCCAATATGGTACTCTTGATGGGACAAGAAGATCTTCAAGACCTTATGGACACCGTAACCTGTGGGGTGTGAATCTCCTTGGTCTGCAAGATGATTATGATGATGATGACGTTAGTGACTTAAATCTAGATGATGATGTCATGGTTCCAAGGAGGCGCAGGAGGTTCACAAGACCTAGGCGTAATGAGGAGCAACCATGATGAATGATGGTGATTTCTGGTAATTAGTCTCCAACCAGAGTATGTCCTCATTCGTTTTCCAAACAAAAAAAAATTGGCATTGTAAAATCATGCTTTGATTTTCTGTTTTGAGGTATAACTTGATTAAATTTTTTGCCTTCAGCTCTGTGAAGAGCCATGTTGATAGTGTTGATATGTCCGGAAGCTGTTGCAGAGCTCAAGACATTTGGAAATTTGGGACAGAGTAGGCTATGCTCAATACAAAAAATTAAATTTGGTCTGTAGGGTTTTGATTTATTATGCAAGGTACTTTTCATGAGCCATCATACTTGTTATTGTCAAACTGAGATATTTTCATTGTGTTGAACTTCTTTATGTATCTGTAGTCGGTTAAGATTGATCCACAGGATGGGCCATGCCTGTGCTGCCTTCATAACCAAGATGTACATACCTACTATTTAAATTGCATCACTAGTAGATATTCGTCTGTTGCATTGGTTGCAATAACATTTCAGAAATTTTCAGGTGTCTTTGAACCTGGAATAATCTCTGGTGATGGAGAAGTCCTCTTTCATGAGTCAGTTCAAACCGTTTTCCTTCCCTTAATTACAATTCTATCATACATGAATCCTCTTTCAACTTGAGATAATTGTGGTAGTCTAGTAGGTTTCCCTTTTTCCATGTCCATTTGCTAACGTGATCTACTATTTTAGAATGCAGTCTGGCACAGTTGGCACCTCAACGGTCTTCTTAGGTTTAATCGATCTTCTAAGCATTGCTACTCTTCTGCTGTTGGTCAGAGTGAATCCGGCAAGTAATTCCTTCTCAACTACTTCTAACTGAGTGTTCCAGTCAAATTCTGCCAGTCCCTTTTACCAGTCTTGCTTGTTTGGCAAGTCCCAAGTCTAGTCAATTGAATTCACCTATACCCGGCCAGTCCAAATCTGCTTGGTCTGCTAGAGAAGGCCACCCAGTCCATGCTTGGCCTGTCCTGCCTGATCGACTAGTCAGCTCGAGGGAAAACTAAGCTCTCGAAGGTCCTTGTCTTATTACTCATTGTGTATCACTTCCCTAATATTTTTTCCACCTATGTGGGAGAAATTATTCTGTGCGGGGACTGGATGCAGAACTTCGTCCGGAGACCAACCAGAATGCACCACATCAGCCGTACCGAGCCGCGTTACCAATCACAGGAATGACGTGATGCATTCTGATTGGTCTACGGACGACAGAATAATTAATCCATGAACACTGTCATCATTGCTAGCTTCACTTTTCCTCATAACCTACTAGACTACCACAATTATCTCATATACTTCCTCTTTATCTTTGACACTAGTTCTTCGAACTGCTATCACCATTTCCATCTACACTCCCAGTCCCCTTCCTATCAGTATCCTCTGCTCTACCTCCATGGTGACCTGCTGTCTTGGTCATTTGGCATGCCAAATATCCAGTGCATTTGACGATTGAAATAAATGGTGCAATTTTTCCTAACTGTCATGCTCATCTATCCTTCATTGTTAGACAACTAAGGGCTGCCAAATGTGTTTTATGTTTATTCTGATTAAACCTTAGGATAGCAGCAAATTGAGGCTTTGTTTGAGACGGTTTTATTACTGCTTTGTTTGTTTGAGATAGTTTTATTGTTTTTTTTTCAGATAACAATCATAATTTTATTTTGTTATTATTATTTTTTGATTTTGTTTTTCATTATTTTTAAAAATTTTTGTAATAAAAAGTTATTATTACAAACTAAAATAGCTAAGTTATTTTTCATACATTAACTTCATGAACAGTTTTATAAAATATTATAGGCGTCCCAAATAAACTATAAATACCACAAGTGCTGGACAAATTGGAAGTTGTTTGATTAGATATTTAAGAGATTTATATAATAATACTAATTATAATGTAATTATTTCGCATTAAAAAGTAAATTTTAAATTATTCATTTATCATATGACAAAATTACATTCTATAGTGTTATTTTATCAACGGTCGTCGATTTTGGTCATTTGTCGTGCATTTCTTAACGTGTAAGCGGAATTTTTTTTTATTCAAACAGTCTAAAATGTGATTTAAGAGAGTAATATATAATGATTAAAAATAATATCAGATAGGCTTAAAAATTGGTAAAGTTACTTTAAGATTACTGATATATATATATTTTTTAAGTTGTATTAATCTATCATAAAAAAAATCAACTTTGTAGGCGCTAATATAGATGCATATTTGAATAGAACTTTCATAATTAAATTTAGTCTAATTGTTTGTCTAGATGGGCAAATTATTGCATCCGGTCACCAGACGTGGAGATAGGTCCGGATATTAATAAAATATTATTTTAAATTAAGCGCGTCAAAAGCGCAGGTCAAAGCGCAGTCAAAAGTACAGGTAAAGCGCAAGTCAAAAGCGCAGGTGATGTGGCAAATTTTTATTGGATGTCCGAACCTATTCTCCACGTCTTGTGACCGGATGCAATAATTTGCCATCTTGATGAGGTGAAACTCGTGACACTGAAAGCAATCCAAGCTAAGCCTAAATGAGCCTAGATTAAGAACTTTAAATATTTGATATTAATTGGTTGATTAACGGTCTTTAAATATTGCATGCTTTTAATCATACAAAGTGTTTTGATGAAACGAATCCAATAATGAGTCTAGATCACTTAAGTTTGACATTATTAAACCACTTAAATGGTGAAGGATTATTATATAATCAAGGAATCAATGCAGCATGTCAAATAGAATATTAGAATATTTCATATTTTAACTATGTTTAGAGGGTATTTCACTCTAAAAATATAAATGTAGTCTCACACTCTTTACATGAAAGGGTGCATGGGGTTTGAATCCTGGCTTGAGATTAAAGAGAATTAAGAGGCTTGAAGAATCTTGGATTACCACTCGAGTACGACCAACTAATCGCCATCATTAGACCATAAGCCTGATTAGCGCCCAACCACTAACATCGAATAACCGCATGACTGCTATCTTTGGACCACTGTCCAATCGACATCGTCGAACCACCACCAAATTGTTGTCACTGGATCATGTTCAGATTATCGTCATTTGATTACAATCTTCTAACTATTATCTTTTGATTACAACCCTCCAACCATTGTTGCTTGACATTCGTCACCCGACTATGATCTTTTGACATTTCTCACCCAGCTATGATCCTTCATGTAAAACCCCCTCCAAAGCTGATTTTTTTTAGTGCAGTTAGTCCGTACGAATTGGGTTTAGTACGGGACGAACTGAAGAAAATTGTGAAGAATCTGTCAATTTCGTCTGTACGAACCTGGAAGGGTCGGGACGATCCTTCTGGACGAAATTTGTCCAGAGAGCAAGTCGTCCGGACGCTATTTAATTTCGTCTGGATGAAATTCTGCCCGAGGGCAAATCATCCCGGGACAAATTTTGGATCGTCCGGGATGATTAGTGTTAATAATATCTGATAGAGATATTTTGGATTCATTTGAAGAGAGAGAAAGAGAATTCAGGAGAGACAGAAAGAGAAGGAAAGAAAGGAAAAGCTTAGTTTCGGAGGCCGCGGAGCAATTTTCGTCCGTCGTCGTTGTTAGAAGATTTGTTCGTCTTGCGGTAAGGACTCCGAATCCTATTTCTGTTTTCGAAGATTTCGAGTTTTGGTATTTCTGTGCTCAGATTTGTGTTTCCGTTACCGAAAAACGCGCATAATTTTGTATTGACGAAAGTTTTACCGCACAACTTTTGATATGTTCCTGAGATGCTTATTCTGCACGATTTGAGTATTTTCTGTAAAGTTTCTACCATTTATTTTGAGTTCTGTGCGATTTTTATCGAATAGAAAATTATCTGGTTGTTGAAAAATAGTGCTTCAGTACAAGTAAAGCTTTGTAATGTTGTTTTCTTCGATTTCTGGTAATTTGGTAAATTTCTGAATCTGTGATTTCTGTGTACATTCCGTGTACTGCCGTTATGCCGCCGATTTCTCGTACGACTTCTGATTTTCTGAATTGATGATTTGAATGATTGAATATGCATACGAATGTGGATATATGATTGAATTATTATTATTGTTACTGAAAGACAAGTAAAGCCTGGTTGAACTGTTGGTTGGAGATGATACCTGTACGGGATGGTGGGCCGACGGGCTTTCATTTAAAAAGGGTTTGGCGATATCCTCTACTGATAACGTGATTACCGAAGGGAGTTATAAGGAGATTACTGCACCGACGGGCAAGAGTGACGACTATTTTCACTGAGCCAACAGATTACTAACATTGATACTAACATTGAAAAACGCCTTAATAGCCAGTGATTGTACTTGTTAAGTAAGACTATTGTATTGTATTGTATGCGTACAGAACAGTTCTTATGATTTCTTGATGGATTTATTGTTTTATTGATATCGATTGATTCATTGATATAGAATTGATTTATCGATATTGAATGGATTTAACGGATTTACGGGGTTTACTGTTACTATACGATTTTATTGATATTGCATACGGTATATGTCACTGAACATTGATACTGATACTGATATGGATATGGATATTGTATTGATTCATGGATACAGATACCGATACCGATACTGATACCACTGATACATTGATTCATTGTACTGATCTTATAGCACGTGATACACTGAACAAGATACATGTGATATACCGAACAAGATACATGTGATACACCGAGCAAGTGATTATTGATTTGTTGATTTTTATATGATTTTATTTCATTGATTGATTTCAATTGTATTTGATGATTTTATTGATTTGATTTCATCTGTTATTACGATGTATTTATTTGATCGTTTTATGTGATTCTATACCGATTGATATTATTGACTGGAATTACTTGATTTACTGATATGATTGATTCGATTTCACTGTTATAGCATAATCGTTCATGTCGTCACTATGGATATTGATACATACGCTGCTGTTACTGATTGAGATACTAAACAAGTGATATGTGATTTACTGAATACGTTATATCGATTATTGGATTGCATATGATTTGTTGAGTGAGTGATATTGAAGACTTTACTATACTGATAGACTGATGTGATAGATAAGACGACTACTGTAGAGATTTAATGCACGTACTGATTTATTGAGCTTTATGAGGTTTCCTACTGTTCACGGATTCTCTTACTGATGATTTTGGATTCTATTTCTATTTATGTACTGATTTCTGTATCTGCATTGATTCACTGATCATGTGCAACTGACTGCTATGATTAGATTGATTGACATGCATATTACTTTCGTGCCGTGCTTTGATTTCAGTTGTAGGCTTTGGTGACCTGCTGGACTATTTAAGCTCATTATATGTGGTTAACAATTTCAGGTCCGAGCAAGGGAGCAGGAATGGAGATTGATCAAGACTGTCGACGAATCCTTTCACTATGGATGCCTGGGGCGTCACACTTCAACTATCACTTTACTAGGGTCATTCGACCACCTTCGCCTAATTATTTTCCTTTGATAATTGTCATCTACTATGATCCTCTTATCACAATCGCTTAACTATGTTCTTATAATTATTGTTGCCCGTCCATAATCCTTCCAACCACTATTGCTCGATTACAGTCCTCTGACATTCATTTCCTAACTACAGTCCCTCGAACTCATTCGTCTGACTATGATCCTACAACCAACTCATTGATTATGGCCCTTCCAACTATTGTTTCCTAACTATGGTTCTCCACAGTGGCGGATCCAGCATCTTTTTTCAGGGTGGGCAAAAATATATTTTTTTTGTGGGGGATGGGCAAAGATGCTTAAGATTTATAAAATGAGGGCCAAAAAATTTTTTGAGATGGGGCAAAATACCAAAAATACTCAAAATATTCCAAACAATCCCTCTAAAATAAAAAAAAAAAAAATTTTTGAGGGGGGGCATTTGCCCCCCCTCAAGTCAATGGGGGTCCGCCCATGGTTCTCCAACAACTATCAGCCAACTATAAGCCTTCTACCACTGTCAGGCAACTATGATTCTCCAACCGAAGTCACCAACTATAATCCTTGGACCACCGTACCCGAGTACAATCTTCGAACCATCATTGCCTAATTTAAGGTTCATCTGCCTACAGCCGCTTGCAACATTTTCTTCAACTTCATCACTCAACTATAATCCTTTGATCATAATCGTCTGATTACAGTCCTTTAATCATCATCTCTCGACTACTGTCCTTTGATCATTGCGCTTAACTACAGTCCCCTGAATCTTATCGCCTGACTACAGTCCTTCGACCACATCAACTGAATTGATTATAATCTTTCGATCATCACCCCTAAGAAAGGATAGTATTTGTAGCCGATGACAAATATTAATGAAATCATTTACGTATTAACGTATTTTCAATATCTAAATACCATGTTGAAGTCAACGAGTTAATTAATAAAACCCACTTACATCCCAACTTGGACTAATTAACTCAGCCTCACCAGGTGCCTTAAAAATACCTCCCCCGGTCAAGGACATATCTGCTGCATGTGTTTAACCCCTCTATCTTGTTTACACGTAAGCCCCCGCCATTAATTCTCTGTCCTGTTATTGTAAAAGAAAATATTAGATAAGCTCTTTTATATTCATTACGATCACTATCTTATTATCTCTTTGGAAGTCTCAAAGACAATAGCTGCTATTCATTCGTATTTTATTACATGTTAGTCTATTTTGAAAATAAATATAAAAATATATATCATTTCTATGTAATATTTTTCCTACCGCATAAATAGTTATTCCTCTGTTCAATTAATTCTTTTAAACTAAAAAAAGATTAATTGCAACTCTATTTTTTAGTACAAATTTTTTGGAAGTCTCAGAGAATTAGTTGCAACTCTATTTTTTAGTACAAAATTTTTAAAAGTCTCAGAGATTTATAAAATAACTTTTTAATACAAAATTAAAATTTTTATATTAAAAGATTGCTTTAAAAATAATAAAAAAATTTGTCACAATTATTTGAATATCTTTATTATTGTGTTTTTTTTTTCTATTATAATCATAATTTTTATTTAGCCATCATTTTTTCATTGGTTCTAAAAAGTTTTGTACTAAAAAGTTATTATTTGCAACAATTTTAAACAGTTATTTTAAAGCCATTTCAAAGAAGCCTAAAAAAATTAGTTATCATCAAAATCCACCCCCTCATAATCAAAAAACCAAAAATTTCTTCATAAACAAGTATTGTATATAAGAAACAAGATGGATCATATTTTATAACCCCCAAAAAAGAAATCATTATCAAATGAATCTGGGAAAATATTTAAAAATAGGGATAAAACTCAATTATTTATGAAGCAATTTCATTCTATTATTTTAAAACCATTTCAAAGAAGCCTAAAAAAATTAGATATCATCAAAATCCATCCCCTCACAATCAGAAAACCAAAAATTTCTTCATAAACAAGTATTGTATATAAGAAACAAGATCGATCATATTTTATAATCCCACTAAAAAGAAATCATTATCAAATGAATCTGGGAAAATATTTAAAAATAGGGATAAAACTCAATTATTTATGAAGCAATTTCATTCTATTTTGTTCTTTTGATTCAATTCCTTTCAAACAAAATAATATAAATCATGCTTCATTGATAAAGAAGAAAGGCCTTCCTTATCCTACTATGATAATTTCAACTTATACTAAATTCCAAAACCCTAATGAAGCATCAGGTAGACAGAATTATCACATTGAGTTAAACAAAAAGACCTATCAATATTTATCCCCTAATAATGAGGTTGTAAGCAATTTAAAGACTGTTAAGGCAGATCATACAAGTAAGCATTAAATGCCTTAAGATATATTATATATACAAAAATCATTAGAATATATTTAAAATTTTTATTCGTATTGAGATGAATGCAGTTCATGATATTAATTTTAACGTAAATTTAAAAAATTTTATGACCCCCTCTTCTTATATTTTGGATACATAAATTTTCCCAATTATTAACAAAAAAAACAACAACAATCCTCTGAGAAATTCTTAGGCGTGAACACCGGACGGAGAGAACTGTCTGATTTTCACTTTATTTATAATAAAAGTGTAGTTACTGTAGCAGTTGAGCTTTGACTATGCTTTCACTGTAGACAAAGAGAAAATCGGACGGTTCTCTCCGTCCAATATACGCACCTAATAATTTGCCCATTTTAAAATCAATAGATCCAAAAATATATAACAAATCTATTCCAACTACAACTATGGAGAGCAGCGTTCAACTGTTCATATTACAAGTAGTATATAAAGCACACTAATAGAAGAAACATGTTAAAAGAAAAGAAAAATTAAGATTTTATTTGAAACAATTTTTTTATTGCTTTTAAAAATTATTTTAAAAACAGTAAAAAAGTTTGTCCCAAACAAAGCTGAAGACTTCAAAGTTCATCAACCTCTCTTCCACCGCCAACTCCGTCGTCCCCAAATCCCCCACAACGTCCTGCGACATCATGAAACGCATCCAATCCGAAATCCTCCGCTTTCGGCAGCCGCATCACATATTCTTCAAGATCATCCAACCCCGCACCGCCATCAAATAGCGCCGTCTCCTCCTCCTTCCCCGACTCTTCTCCGATGCTCGCCGTTGCGAGGCCGACGTGGGGGAGATTGAGGCAGGCGCAGTCGCCGTAGAGGGATCGAGCGGCGTGGTCGTAGGCGCGGGCGGCGTCGAGGGAGGAGTTGAAAGTGCCGAGCCAGAGGCGAGCTCCGTGGTTAGGCATGCGGATCTCGGCCACCCACTTACCCCACGTACGCTGCCGCACACCGCGGTAGGAGCAGAAGGGATTCTCAGGTCCACCTTTGCCTTTCATACAGCCCTTGCGTGATCGCCGAAGGGGGCAGCATTTCTTCTTCTTTTCTTTGTTTGTTACTGTGGGCATGATTGTGGGGAGTAGATTGGTATGAGCGGTAGGCGTTTGTGTTTATGTGTGAGAGGAGAAAAGGGCTGTTTGGAAGACGGGGGGAGTACACATGGGAAGAGGATGGGGGTCCACGTGTCACGGAGAGGTGGGAGAGTGACACGTTGACGGTGTGGGGCGAGGTTCTGAATTTTTTGACTGCTACATAACTCTCCTTGGCCTATTGGTTGAGAGCTTAGGCTTCCAACTAAGAGGTCCAAGATTCGAGTCTTTGTGTATGGATTGTGTGTGTGAGTTTGCCTTAAATGGCCTAAATGTCCCAAAAAAAAAAAATTTTTTACTGCTATGTGGCGGCGCAGGAACGAGCGCCTCAGTGGAATTATCTTTTCTTTTTCCCCTTTTGGGGAAGATTGAGGGCTTAGACCGATTTACATTGACCATAAAAAATAACCACGTGAGATTAATAAGTCAAAATATAACTAAAAAAAGATACCAAGAAGAAGCAGATCTCAGTTGCAGTTAAAAATTATGCCATGGTGATAATAACTCGACAAAAATTTTAAAAGCTATTCAAAATATCAAAAAGATCACCCATCCACGATGAAATGCAATTAGTGATGCACCATTGGTGATTTGGTGGCCGTTACGGGTGCAACCGTTGGCCTCGACTTAGTAATAGACTCAACGAGTCGAGTTTTTTGAGCTCTCGAATTGAGCTTGAACATGATTTCGAGCTCGACGGCTTATCGAGCTCGAGTTCGAACAACCCTCAGCTTGACTCGCGAATACGTCGAGCAGCTTGCGGAACTGTGTGCGGGAAAATGAAATTGGAGCTCTGGCGGGCAGAAAAAAAAAACTCGGAGTCCGAGCAGATCTCGGGACAGAGCGTACTGTGGAACACGTGATGCGACCTCGAGACGGAGCGAGATGCGACCTCGGGAACTCGAGCGGACCTCGGGACGGAACTAACGAACACGATCAAACCTCGGAGAGGCAAGATGCGACATCGGGACTGAACTGCCGAACGCGGCATAAAGACCTTGAGCAGACCTCGGGATGGAACTGGCAAACACGACCGGACCTTGGGACAAAGACTCGCGAGCTGCTTGACTTGAGACCAGTCGAGCTCAACTTTAACGCGAGCTGCTTTTGAGCTTGACTCGAGTTCAAGCTCGATATTTGACAATTGAGCTAGACTTAAACGCCCCATAGCTCGCGCTAGATTCAGCTCATTTGCACCCCTAGTGGTTGTGGTGTAAAGCACATAATCAAACCAAAAAAGAGGTGGGAGCAATCATTCATCATTGTCCATAAATTCAGTCGGTGCCCAAAATTTCACTGAACAAGATGGTTAATTTCTTAAAATTTCTTCCATTTCCAATTTTTTTATTCCACTTGTATATTTCTTTATTCCACATTTCACTGTGTAGTTGTCAACTACATAAATATTTTTTTCTTGTCCAAATAAGGGTGGTCAAATTCTAAGTTAAATCTAACAAAAAGTTATTTTCTATACTTCTTAACCAAGTCTTTTTTAGGTTTACCTCTACCTTTCTTAACATAGACCAGATCTAATAAATCTAGTGATTGGAAGGCTGATGTTTTATGTCACTAAAGTCACTAAATTATCTAAAGTGACTCTCTATACTCTTTTACCACTGGAGCTACTCCAACCTTTTTATGTATATTCACGTTTCACATTCTATTCTTAAGTGTAAAGCTACTCATCCACCCGAGCATCCTCATCCATGCAACACTTTATTTTATTCTTCTCTTTAATGGTCAATATTTAGCGCCTAAAGCATTGCAAGTCTCACAAAAATCTTATAAGATTTTTTCCTTAAGTTTGAGAGATACTACACAATAGCCCAAACATTCCTCCACTTTAACCATCTACCTTGAATTTTATCAAAAGTATCTCCATTCATTTCACCATTGCTGTGAACAACTCGAGATGTCTAAATCACCCAATGTCATAATCTCACAAACAGATCTATTATTAATTTACTATTAAAGTTACAATCAAATTATTCAGTTTTAGATATACTCAAACGGAAACCTTTAGACTCTATGGTTGACCTCCATAATTCAAATTTTTCATCGAACTCCATCTCTAGTATTATCAACAACAATAATATCATCAGCAACACGCTTTTGCTCTAATAAATTTGCAAAATTTTGAGGCCATTTGACCTTGAGAGTTGAGATATTATTAATTATTTCTAAGAGTGCTTTATCAAGGCATATTTGGACTTAAATACGTGTAGGTAATACCATTGGGGTTGTCTTGTCAAACTACCATCTTAATCATAATTTTGTTAAACATAACATTCAAATTATATATCAATCCTATAAATTTTTTTAGCTCTCTCCTTAATTTATTGGTTGGGACATTTGACTATCAACTAATAGATTTTTAATTTGAGTCTTATACATATAACGTCTGAGTGAATTTATTTTAATTGGTCTAAATATCTCAAAAAGCTTTAGAATTTTTTGTTTCAAATACTTAGTGCTTCGAGATATGAATGGTTGTCAATCTCCCATTGGCTCTCAAATTGCAACTGCAATTAAACTGGCGTAAATGCAAAAGCCCGCATAGGCTGCCCTTCAGGAATTTTTATTAGGTCCGAACACCTGACGTAGCTCTACATCCGGATGCCAATAAAATGTCCCAACGTGCTCTTACTCTTTACCGCGCGGCCCGACGACCCGAGCCGGGACGGAAACCCGGTATTGCTATGTTCGTGTATTGCTAGGTATTGCTCGGTATTGTTAGGTATTGCTTGACAATAATGAGAAATACCGCTCTGTCAAAACCAATACCAAGCAATACGGAGTAATACCTAGCAATACCTAGCAAAACCGGTGTATTGCTCGGTATTGCTAGGTATTGGTCTTAACAGAATAGTATTTCTCGTTACCAAGCAATACCGAGCAAAACCTAGCAATACCCTGGTCTGTACAAATCAGCTAATACATAACAATATTGGGTTCCAATCCGGATCGGATCATCGGGCATCGCAGAAAAAAGTAAGAGCACGTAACCATATTTTATTCCCGATGTAGACCCACGATTAGGTGTGTCCGGACCTAATAAAAATTCGCCCTTCAGCCGTTCCTTAGTTCCGACTATTGTGCCTGATCAATAGGAAAAATAAATAAATAAAGATGTTGGTATACTCAGGGAGCTGCTGTAATGAGAATCTAAGTATCTCTGGCTCGTCTTGTTGCACTGAACATTTGAAGAGCTGTTGTTGCTACTCTCCGACCGGCCTGAGGGATTTTCTGCTTGGACGATGATGTTCCCAATTCAGGCCCTCCTTGGATGGTCTTCGGGCAACCAGGAGGATTCTAGTTGCTGCCTCTTTAATGCTACTCTTAGCATTTCTTTTTGATCTATGCTGAGTCCAAGCTTTTAATTTTTCGACCTTTTTGGTTTTTTGGTGCAGAATTGTAATCTTGGGCTGAGTTTTTTTCTTCTTTTTGCAGGTCTTACATTCTACAGTTAATTTTTTGGGTTGCGTCTGTCATATTTTGGGCCTAATTGGCCAGCCTCTTTTTTTCTTTGAGGCTCTTGTTTTTTACCTGTAACTCTCTTTTATCATTTATATACGGGCTATGCCCAAATTTTCCCAAAAAAAAAAAAAAGATACCATTGGGATTGTCTTGTCAAACTACCATCTTAATCATAATTTTGTTAAATATAACATTCAAATTATATATCAATCCTAGAAATTTTTTTAGCTCTCTCCTTAATTTATTGGTTGGGATATTTGACTATCAACTAAAAAAATTTTAATTTGAGTCTTATAGATATAATGTCTGAGTGAATTTATTTTAATTGGCCTAAATATCTCAAAAAGCTTTAGAATTTTTTGTTTCAAATACTTAGTGCTTTTAGATATGAATGGTTGTCAATCTCCCATTGGCTCTCAAACTGCAAATGCAATTAAACTGGAGTATATGCAAAATCCCGCATAGGCTGCCCTTCAGGAATTTTTATTAGGTCCGAACACCTGACGTAGCTCTACATCCGGATGCCAATAAAATGTCGCCACGTGCTCTTACTCTTTACCGCGCGGCCCGACGGCCTGAGCCGAGACAGAAACCCGGTATTGCTATGTTCGTGTATTGCTAGGTATTGCTCGGTATTGCTAGGTATTGCTTGACAATAATGAGAAATACCGCTCTGTCAAAACCAATACAAAGCAATACGGAGTAATACCTAGCAATACCGAGTAATACCTAGCAAAACCAGGGTATTGCTCGGTATTGCTAGGTATTGGTCTTAACAGAATAGTATTTCTCGTTACCAAGCAATACCGAGCAAAACCTAGCAATACCCTGATCTGTACAAATCAGCTAAAACATAGCAATATTGGGTTCCAGTCTGGATCGGATCGTCGGGGGCCTCGCAGTAAAAAGTAAGGACCTAATAAAAATTCGCCCTTCAGCCGTTCCTTAGTTCCGACTATTGTGCCTGATCAATAGGAAAAATAAATAAATAAATATTGTGAACCTTTTCCCTCGCTCCTTCCGCCTTCCATGGCCGTTTAACCAATCTTTCAACTGCGATTTTAATTCGTTTGATGCCCCAGATCCCAAAATGTTGATAGAAACCCGGTAAAACTCTGCAAATCCCATGGATTCTGATTCGCTTCTCCTTATATTGCCTTCACTCGTAGCTGTACGCATGAACGTGTCCTCAGAGAGGAACAGGGAACGAACTCGTTGAGAAAATTCTCGAATGTCAAGAATCGGATGAATCAAAATTTTCCAAAAATTTCGTAATGCGTTCGTTCAATTCCCCTATCACTGCAATCGACGCTGCAAAGTATTTTCACAGCCCCGTGCACAAAGCCGTGCTCACTCGCGATCATGCTGCCCTAAAGCAAATCCTTGCCGCTATTCCCCGCATCTCCCCGCCTTCTCAAAGCCTAACCGAGGCCGAATCCATCGCCGAGGAAGACAAGGCCAACGCCATTTCAGCTGTCATTGATCGCCGCGATGTCTACGAGCGTGAAACCCCTCTCCACCTCGCCATCAAACTCGGCGATGCCACCGCCGTTGAGATGCTCATGGCCGCCGGAGCGGATTCTAGCCTCCAAAACATGCAGGGATGGAGCCCTCTTCAAGAAGCCATCTGTGCTCGAGAGGAACAAATCGCAAAAATCATTGTTCAGCATTACCAGGCCTTAGCCTGGGTCAAGTGGTGTCGCCGAATGCCACGCATTGTGGCTGCCATGAATCGGATGAGAGATTTCTATATGGAGATCAATTTCCATTTCGAGAGCTCCGTGATCCCTTTCATATCAAGAATTGCTCCATCTGATACCTACAAGATATGGAAGCGGGGATCGAATCTGAGAGCAGATATGACGCTTTCCGGCTTCGATGGTTTGAAGATTAAGCGAGCCGAGCAGAGCGTTTTGTTTTTGGGAGCAGGTTCGGTTGATGGGAAGGTAAAGCCTGCTAGGTTGTACTTAATCTCGCATAAGGATAAGGAGGTTCTCGATGCTTTGGATGGAGCAGGGGACTTGGTTTCTGATGCTGACTTGCAACAGGAGGTTGCAGCTCTGTTTAGAACCAATGTTCTTCGACCAGGGCTTGATGTTACCCGTACGGTGCTAGTTCCACAGATGAATTGGAGAAAGCAGCAAAGGTTGGAGATGGTTGGGCCATGGAAAGCTAAGGTCTACAACATGCATCATGTAGTTGTTAGTATAAGGTCACGGCGGGTTCCTGGTGCCATGACTGATGACGAGCTATTCGCTGTTAAGAATGATGGAGAGGATGTTGGGTTTGGTGATGAGCTTACTGAGGGAGAGAGGAACAAATTGGAGGCAGCTTTAAAGATGGAAACTTCAGATTCTGGTTATTTCACTCAACAAAATGATCAGGGCCCGGTTGTTGATATGACTCCTACTCGTAATGGGGGATGTAGTGATGTAAATAAAGAGCGGAATGGATGGTTTGGAAATTGGAATAATGGTAAAGCTCCCAAGCATGGCTTGGAGAAGAAGGATTTAGCTTCAAGGCAATCTCTTTGTGGTGAAGAGAAGGTAAATGATCTCCCGGAGGGTTCATCAAAGATGCCATATAAGCAAGAAAAAAATTCTATTGATAGGAGTAGAGATGAGTCCAAAAAAATTGCTGCAAGTTTGGAGAATGGTCATCAACTCAAGGAGAGTGTAAGAGAGAATGAATATAGCAAGGGTTTAAAACCAGTTCTATGGCTTTCTCCTAATTTTCCATTGCAAACAGAGGAGCTTCTCCCTTTGCTGGATGTTCTTGCAAACAAGGTTAAGGCTGTACGTCGTTTGAGGGAACTGCTTACCACTAAGCTTCCAAGTGGCACGTTTCCTGTGAAGGTATGCAGAAGAATTATTTGTTGTCATGTTTAAGTTTTCATAGTTAACGATTTTGCAATACGTTAATTTGCTCTCTTTTTTTTTGCATTTATATTTATTAATAATTGTATTTGTTATGCTGTTATGGATCCTTTATTAATACTCCATTTCCCTGGAATTTGATATTATGCTTTCTTTGGTTCCATTAATTTGATGTTTCGTCATTGAGCTTCCCATTTTCATGTCTTTCTACTTACCCCAAACCCACAAGTATTACTGGAATGAGTTTCTGAGCTTATTGACGTAGAATCCCGAGGATGTAGTTGAAGACGAAAGAGCTAGCAAGGGAAAAGAGAAATTGTGTATAAGTAAAGGTGAAGCAAAAGCCAATACAAGTTCTGCCATATAGTTATGCCTAATATGCCTGTACCATGAAAGTTTACTGCAGGAGAATTAACGAAAGTAATCCTAGATTAAAGCAATATTAACTAGATGTAATAATAAAGTGAAATAGAAACAAAAAATATTTAAATGTATTGTCTCTAGTAGACTGCATTAATTCCCTCCTTGGGAAGAACTTGCCCCGAGTTCAATCAGCTGTAGGTTACCATCGTCTGGCGATGTTAAGTGAAAATATCTGCTACGTTAAAACAGGTGAGATTTTTAATCAGGAGGTAAAGAAACTGCATAAGTATAGTCATTGAGTGATATAGGCAAAGCTAGTTTTATTTTCTTTATGATAAAGTTGTTTACTTGCTCTTTGATGGCTAAATAGATATTTAATTTTTGTTGCTGATTTTTCTTTATTGGGCTAGCCCATTTCTATCTTGTTCGATGGTTGCTTGGTGTTCTCCAAACAGGTTTCGGATTCCCTGCAGCCATTGGTTTTCCAATTGGTTTTTGTTTTCCTACAGCCTTTGGTTTTCCCATGCAATAAATGGAATTTCCGCTTTATGATTCCCATGCAGATTTCAGTTTTCCATACAGAATTTTTATTTTTTGGGGTAATTTTGGGGCAATGCCGGTATATTAAAAAGCAACGGTTACAAAAGGAGGTAAGAAAAGGAAAGTATACCTATACCCAAACCCAAAACAAGAGAAGGAGAAACTGAACAAAAAGATACCAAAAAACCCAATAGGCCACAACAAGGGGACAATCCAGCCACAATCCGGACTCAAAATAATCAGGAACCAACACACATGGGCATGAGTACAAGATTACACGAGGTGGTTAGAAAATGAAGCCCATATAAAAACTACCCAAATAATCACTCCTGGTTGCCAAAGAAGCAAAACCGAAAATTCCAGCGGTTGCAACAAAAGATTTGGGCAATGGCGAATTCGGTTTCACGAGTAAACGTCGTTTGGGCCATGTCATGTGCCAATTTCCTCAATTTGCACGCATTGGCTTGGGGGATCCCTGCCGATCTCGTCGCGCAACTTTAATTGAACAAATTTATTTCACTTTTGGGTATTGATAACGTTTCGATCGCAACGACGAAGTCTGTTTTGTAATCAGACATCGTTTGAGTTACGTCGCGCATCAATTTCGGGTGTTGGTCTTTCTTTTTGACCGATCTCGTCCGATTTGACTGCGAGGAGTTTCCCTCTTAGGCGAATTTTTACGTCATGATTGCAACGACATAGTCCATTTGACAATTGGAGGTTGTTCCCTTCAAGTGACGCATTGCACCGATGCTTGCGTGACTTAAATCTCGGTTTTTACACCTTCTCACGTATTTTGATGTGTAGGGGTCAGCAATAGTTCCTTGCTGATGAAAAATTGCATTAAACATTATTTCACTACTTTGATTTCATTTCCTTTCTACATACTAGAGAGCTTTTATGGTCTTGGATGATCTTGCATTGAGTTCAATTTTTCCACCATTTTAGTTGAAACAACATTTTCACAACCATTTTCACACTTTCCTTAAAACATGCACTCTACATAGAATATATTGTGGCATAGCCACTCTGAGTCATTTTTATGGCAACATTAGCAAACTCGTGAGGTGAGATTTGAGCTTGGAGAGTCGAAACAGAAAATGAAGTATTGACACTTTTATTTATAGCAGTCGTAACTCACAAGGCCCACAAAATTGTAACTCGCTAGCCTCTAGAGTGAATAATGAATGCAATACAATTCTAATAATGTAAAAATAAGCATTAGGATTAGGGCACCCAACTCTAATAATATATAAATAAGGATATTTAAGCAATATTACATTTAAGTAAGCCGACTCAAATGTTGAGTTCGGCCTAAATTGAACTCGAGCTTATAAATCTTAAATGCTGAACTCAAGCTCTATCTTGGCAAGAACTTCTCATTGTCTAATAAAAAAGCTGTACAATCATCTCACTTGTGTACACGACTCATCAACCTACCTAGAAGAAGCTTCATTACTGTAGCGAGTAATTCTACATCTTGGGCTCAAATCTTTCAATCGAGATTGCTGTCACCTTAATTTCAAGCTCGGTGAATCTTGTGGGAGCCAAGTTTGAGCTTAAGGTTTTGTTTGGGACGGTTTTTTTACTGCTTCTTGAAGCAGCTTTTAAGTACAAAAAATTTTAGTACAAAATTTAAATTTGTATTAAAAAGCTGCTTCAAGAAGCAGTAAAAAAGCAGTCCCAAATGAAGCCTAAGTTCGAGATGAAATAGTTTACTCCAGCTCAATTTAATTGTGACTTGGGCTAGACTAAACTCGATTGCACTCCAATAAGCAATTTATTGTAGTTGATGACTGATGAGCCGCTTATTTGTTTGCCAACATTTGTTTACGCAGAACTAGTTGTCTTTGTTATTATTCTAATTATAGTCTTTGCTTACCATTTGTTTCTCGTATGAGCAACTGGACAAGATAAGCGTCATAGGGATTATAAAGATGTTTTACCAACTTAGATTGATAAAGTGTGGATTGCTTCTATTTAGATTGTTGTAGAAGCAATCATGTACTCATGTTAGGGAAGCAGAGCGAGCATGTTGAGATGTTCGAGAAGTGTTGTGGAGTTGATGAAGTACCAATTAAGTACAAAGGTAGGATTAAAGCTTCGTTTGGGACGGCTTTCCTATTGCTTCTTAAAGCAACTTTTCAGTATTACAAAAATTTTAATTTTTATACTGAAAAGTTGCTTTAAGAAATAATAACAATGCCGTCCCAAACAAAGCCTAACATGGCTCTGAAAGAAATAACGTAGGTCAAATCTGAGAATCAGCATTTTATCATACGTGACACCAACTGCAGTTCCAAGCATGAATGAATGGTGAAAAGTACTAAAAACCGTTACCATGAACAAGACTTCTATTGCTACTGTTAATGGCTAATATGTACCGTTTCATTTCTTTCTTGATTCTGTGTCAGCTTAGGCTGAACTCCCAAATGATTTTGTTTGCAGGTTGCTATTCCAGTGATCCCAACAGTTAGGGTGGTGATCAGTTTCACAAAGTTTGAAGAACTACAATCGACAACTTCTGAAGTATTCCGCACACCACTTTCAACCCCTAAGAGGGAATCCCCTGTAATAAATTCTGCTAATTGGGCTCAATGGTTAATTTCTTCCTACTCTACTGATAACTTCCAACCTAAAGCATCACCAGAACATAGCAACTCTTCCATGGATTTGCAGGATCCCTTCATTATTCCTCCTAATTATGAGTGGACAACCTCTGAAGCAAAGAAGAAGAAGAAGAAGAACCAAGAGGCTAATGGGAAACCAAAGAAGCGGCAGGGTTAGTACATATGTTGACTTCTCAACAATTGTTACTTTCATGATTTGTTAATACAACTGAGATTACAGAATTATTAAGTGAAATACATAAGTATTTGGAAGGTGAATGAAGTCTGCATAGTAAAAATCTTGCTTGCGAGTTATGTAATTTGTGATTTTTTTTATAATATGAAAATTGCAATAGCACTTGCAAGCTTTAACTTGCTCTCTATGTTGAACCGATACACCTATTTATGAAGGCGTGCTGTGTCCGATACACGGATACACCTCCGATATGTGTCGGATACGACTTTACCGTATTCAATTAAAATACTATTTAATTTCAAAAAGACATGTGCATCCAATACATGTGTACATTGAAAAATAAAAATAAAAATCCGAAAAAAGACCAGTCGTATTTATTGTCGCGGCTGCGAGCGAGGTTCTCTCATTTCCGAGATGGATTTGAGTCTCTTGATGACATGGGAATATTAAAAATTGCTAATCTTTCTCTTGATGAGCCTGAATTAAAAGCTATGATATTTATTGAAGATGATATAGAAGTTCAAAGACAAACCACTCATGAAGCTAATCATATCATTCATCTATTGAATAGTTGAAACCTCATGTGCTAGACAATTTATGTTTATGTTTTTATTGTTGTACTAGATATTTAATGCTTACTTTTATTTTGATATTATAAGCTACAAGGCTACAAATGATGTAACTTTCATTTTTTTTTTGTAATTTCAAATATTATGCTTTGATTGTTTTCTTAATTTTTTATGTATGATTTATAAATTATAATGTCATGTCCGCACTGTACCGTATCTTATATTTTTAAGAATTGATGTGTCCCGTATTCGTATCGTGTCGTATCCGTGTCGGTGCAACATAGCTTGCTCTTTTGATCATAACTGGTTGAACCTTTCAGGGGATTTGATTCATGATCTGGTTGATATAATCAACATGTGTAATCCAATTTTTAAGGCACTTACTATATCCGAATGGAGCAAGATCAGCATAATAGAAATCCATGTGCATTTATAGTTAGGACTCTATTGATACATTTTTTACCCAATATGTCAATTCAGAATGGCTACTGGCCTTTTTTCCTTAAAATAAGGAAATACAAATGCCAAAGCCATTCACTTTAGCGAAAGCAAAATTAATTAATTAATTAATTAATTAAGAGCTCATTTGGTTGTTTCATGTAGATATAAGCCCCTTCAGTTTTAACTTTTACAGCCAACATAAGGCCATATTATCTGAGCTCGACCAAAAGCTAAGCCATCGACAAGTCATAACTAATCTCACCATTGTCTCTCTACTTAAATCCTTTCTTCAATCAAACATTTTTTTTAGTTCTCTCAACTTAGAGCATTTACTCTTTAGCTTAAAAGATGTATAATTTAGCTTTAACTAAAACTTAAACCTCGATGAAGCAGATATTAAAAAACCTCTTAAAACTATGAGTTCCAATTTGATTTTTAAAATGATTAAAAATAAATATATATTTTTTAAATATATTTTTCATGTAATAACAATTAAGGCTTCGTTTGTAACAGCTTTTTTATTGATTTTTAATTTTTTTAATATAAAAATTTTTAGTTTAAGAAATTTGTTTACTAAAAGTTTATTTTAGAAAGCAATAAAAAAATTGTCCCAAATAAAATCTTCAAGTAATGGTCTGGCAGAACTCCAGGCATGAGGTGGTGGTCCGGCGAAGTCAAGGGCCTTAGGTGATGGTCCGGCGAAGGCAAGGGCCTCAGGTGATGGTCCGGCGAAGGCGAGGGCCTCATGTGGTGGTCCAGCGAAGCTCCGACGGTGGTCCGGCAAAATTTCGCGTGGTGGTCCGACGAAACTCCTCCAGTGGTCGAGGAGGAGCTTCTTCCTTCTCTTCCTTCTCTTCTCTTCTTGCTTGGACCCCCTTTCAAGAGAAATGAGGGGTCTATTTATAGATTTTCTGAAGTGGCATGACCTATAAATATGTGAGAGATCAGGGGTAAATGTGGACTGGTTGGATGGACGACCGATATTGAATCCCTTGATCATGGACCATTCGTCAGACATTCGGAGGTCTTAATAATTTCGGAATTTGGTGATCTTGGGCTCATTGGATTTGTCTTGTCGAGCCACTCGATTCGACTATAAGCTTGTCATGTTTGGAAACCATTTGGTAACTCAAACTGTGATTTGAACCTTCCAAACGTGCTTCTAACCCTTGATTTGGACCCGTTTGGGCTCGGATTGGGTTGAATTTGGTGTCGTTGGGTTCATATTCTCGAGACGCTTAGTTCAACTGTAAGTTTGCTGAAATAGGAGTTTGGATGGTCCCAATTTTAATTTTGGAAGTTTTCAACTTGATTTTGCATCCAGATTCGTGTTTGTTCAAGATACTTTTTTGATGACTTATCAAAAGTAAATAATAAATTTTATGTGTTAAATATATAAATGAGAAGTTTTGAATATCCAACCAAATTTAGTATGACTGTGCATTATAACACCGAAAATAAACATGCATTTATCTTGATCGAGCACGAATCTTGTGGCAAATTTGAGTTGAAAGCTTTCAAAATTAAACATGGAACCATCCTAACTTCGATTTCAACAAACTTATAGTCGAACTGAGCTTCTCAAAAAGACGAACCGAACGACCCCAAATTCGACCCAATCCAAGCCCAAATGAGTTCAAACCAAAGACCTGAAGCACATTTGGAAGGTTCAAACCATAAATTAGATGACCAAATAGTTTACAAACGTGACATGCTTATCATCAAATCAAGTGGCTCGACAAGACAGATCCAACAAGCCCAAGATGGTCAAATTCTGATATCATTAAGACATTCAAATGCCGAGTAAATAGTTTATAATAAAGGGGATCAATATAGTCAGTTTATTCAAAACAATCCTAATGTATCATTGAACTCCCTCATATTTTGCTCTCAAAAAACTACAAATAGACCCATCATTCCTCATGGAAAAGGGGACTCAATCAAGAAAGAGAGAAAACTAGAGTTCTCTTGCCACTAGACCCCTCCTCGACCATTGTTGGACCACAAACCGTCGCAGGACTATCGTTGGACTTTTGCTCGGCCGCCAACTAACGTTGGACTTCTGTCCGACCACTAACTATCATCAGACTCCCCCCCCCCCCCTCCCTCGACAACAATCTCCATACAACAGTCTTTCTGACAATTGTTGTCTGCCGACTACAATCCTTCCGACCTTCATTACCATACAACAATCTTTCTGACCACTGTCACCCGCTGACTATGGATTTTCCAACCTCTGTCGCCAAACTACGGTCCTTCTAATCTTTGTAACCAGACAACGATCTTTCTGACCACTATCGCTCGCCGACTATGGTCCTTCCAACCTCTGTTGCCAGACAACGGTCTTTTTAACCACTATAACCCGCCAACTATGGTCCTTCTGACTTGTATCCCCAAAAAATAGTCTTTCTAACCACTATCACCCACCAACTACAATCCTTCTGACCTTCATCGCTAGACAATAGTCTTTCTTACAACTATCACCTGTCGACTACAGTCCATCTAACCTCCGTCACAAGATAATAGGGGTGTCAATTTCGAGTCATTTTGGTACTATTCAGATTAACCCAAAATCGGCACATTTTTGCAAACGGGTCATTTTTTTGGACCTGAACCTGACCCGTAAGTCAGTCATCATCCTCAATTCGCACACTTCTTTAGCCAAATCCTGTCGGCGTCTGACCCATAAGGTAGCGACACTAGTAGGTGGCGACTGGTGACAGGTGAAGCAGGCACCGATAGCGAGTTACCAACTCGATGGCTCGACTGCTTAACTCAATGCTATGTAGACGTACCGACTCTAATTAACACTGACACGCTGTAACAGACGTGACTCGATGGGATGCGGACATGGGTAGGCGATGCTGGCATGCATGGGAGATTAACGCGGGCCAGTGAAATTAAGCGTGGGAAATCATTTTTTCATGTCATTCTAGGTCAATCCCGGGTTTTCGAGTCAACTCGAACCCTACCCAATTTTAGAAACTGGTCGAAAACCCTAACCTAACCTAACCTGAAATTTTTGAGTCGGGTTCAGTTCGAGTTTTTGGGTCTAGTCCAATATTGACACCCCTGCCAAACAATGGTTCTTTTGACCTTCGTTGCCCACCTACTACTGTCCTTTTGATCTCCGTCACCAGATAATAATTTTTCTGACCACTATCACCCACCGACTAAGGTCCTTTTGACCTCCGTCGCAAGACTACGGTCCTTCTGATCTCCGTCGCCAGATTACGATCATTCTAACCTCTATCGCCCGCCCACTACGGTAACAGTCCTTCTGACCTTTATCGCTAAATAATAATCTTTCTAACTACTTGTCTGCCGACTACAATCCTTCTAACCTCTGTCACCAGACCATGGTTTTCTAGCTACTATCACCCACTAATTATGGTCATTCTAACCTCTTTTGTCTGCCAACTATGATCATTCAGACCTCCTTCCCTTGATTATAGTCTTTATGATCTCTATTTTCTATCGAATATGATCCTTCCGACCTCCATCGCCAGACATGATATTTTAATTAAAATAATAATTTAATATTATATAAATATTTAATCAATTTCTTTTAGTATATAATTCATAAAAAAATTTGGGGATTCAAAAATTATAAAAAAAGTTTCATAAAATAATAAATTTAGTTTAGAAAATTCTGGTGGAATCAATTTGAAAAATGGACACTTGACGATCCTGAAATCCTCACTTTTACCGACATATGTCAATTGCTTAAGGATTTTCATTAGTGTAAAAAAATTATGAAAAAAATTAGTGCAAGTAAAAATACTACAATATCATCACTATAGCGAAGACGATTTGCAATTTAAAGTTGTAATGACTCTAGGAAAAATAATAATTTTCTAGGTCAAAATACGAGCTATTATAATATAAACCTCTATTTACTAATATCATTCTTATTATGGACTTCAAATTTTGTGGCTTTAGAATGTGTTCTTGATATCTTAACTTTATATAAATATTCAACATTGACAAATAGAAGTTCAAAGATTTTATAATTTTTATGTGGAAAATCTAATAATAATAATAATAAAAAACTACAAAAGCTAGTTCTAGTTGTAATAGTTCAATATATAATTGTATATACAAAATTCAACTTTTCCTTACAATTAAAGAATATGGGATAACATAATTAAAAATGATTATTCGACTCCCAATATAAGGATATATAAGTCAAATGCCCACAAATAGACACATACAATCTAATATATAGGGTTCTATATTGATAGTCAGGTAATATTATTTGGATGACATAATTCAGACGATGGTGACAGTGATTTTTGATGATGTTCGTCGTCAGAATATATTATTGAATAGTTTAGCTTTCTTAGCTCTTAAACCTCTTTTTAAGGTAGAAAATGTTATAATCATTTTGATAAGGGTCTTTTGATAAATTTGGTCATAATCCAAAATAATCTATCAAATGGTTCAACCAGACCCCCTTGAGTATAGGTCATTTATTCATCATTTGAGTGCATCAATGATGCCAGAATTGAATGATCTTATATTTGTTAGATTCATGTTATCTAATAGCTTAATTTGATTATAAGCACGCACTATTTGGAGACCATCTAATCCTTCAATTAAATTTAAAAGTTTTTAAATATACTTCAAATGCTCGACTTGGATTGGATTCAAATAAGATCATTTCTTATATTGATGAGCTTATTTTGTCGAGATGCTCATTATGATTATATGTTTATTAAAAATAATTTAAATGATTTTGAATTTAACTTCAAAAATATTCAAATTAATTATTTTTTTGAGATTCATGCCATTCAAATCTTTTGTTTTTTTTGCAGACTTATCAATTATAAATTATAAATCCCATGAAAATATTAGAAATATATATATATTGCATGTTGAACAATTATATCGCAAGATTGGCGACCTAATTTTTCCATAAGGAATGACCAACCACTTGTCCCACCGGCGTCCATGCCTTCTCTTCGCACCACATCCACGAGCACACCGAGTGTTCCTAGCCACCGCCACGCCGTCCCATTCCCTTGATTAGATGCCGCTAACACGGTCCAATATCCTCTCAGCCTCAATTCTTAAGCTACTCCAAAATCATAATATTTAATAAAATAAATGTGCTTTTTATTACGTCCGTTGGCTATTACTTTCATGAGAGATCAAATAAATCTTTTTTTGGGGAAAAATCAAATAACCTAACATCAGCACGAGTATTGAAGGACATGTGAGAATTTTATATTTTTATATGCACAGGTGTTGGACAACAATAGTGTACTACCGTTTCACAGATGTGAAAATGCAAGCTGAACGAATCTTAATGCAGTTCTAAGGTTTTTGATTACGTTGTATAATCTTTAATAAGAATTGTTGCTGCATAAGTTTATATCACTACTTCATCCGGCTCCTTGGCTTCTTACTACCGGTACCGGCAAGCCCTCGCCCGCTCTATTCTGCTCCAGACTCTCCTTGGTTACTTACGCCCGGTACCGGCAAGCCCTTGCCCGCTTCTATTCTGCTCCAGACTCTGCTATAATATCCTCTCGCAATCTCATAGATCGGAGTGGTGGTTGAGGAAGAGAGATTCTTCCATGGATGCCGCGGCTCAGTTTCTCCACTGCGACATAAATTGCCTTCGCCGACCGCTCGTCTCGGGCGTGCATGGAGGACGCATGAGAGTACGCCGCCGGGCCTTTCCGTCGCGTTTCCGAGTGCGGCGGTCAGACGTGGTTGCTGTGGCCACGGAGCCGAAGCCTGGGACTACCTTAGCTTCGTCTCCGGCCAAGTCGAGGGTGCCTCCCAATGGATCTATCAATGGAGCTACAAATGTAAACAATATCGGTATTTTTTGATGATCATTTATACCTTATTTTTTTTGACATTACTGGGTTTTCCTGGAATTGCAGAGGATTGGGAATGTATCGGATGAGATCAAGAGGGTCAGGGCTCAGATGGAAGAGGACGAGCAGTTGGCAACGCTCATGAGAGGCCTGCGGGGGCAGAACCTCTCCGATTCGCAGTTTGCTGATGAGAATATCCGACTACGCCTTGTTGAGGTCCGTTTTCTCTGTTCTGTTTATAACCATTTATGGTGAAGCTATTATGTAAGCTGGGAAATTTGAGAATTCGTCTAGGAATCTAGACTGAATAACCTTTGCTGGAGTTGAAAGATGGCATGACTGGTTTAATTTACTGGAGTGCCTTCCATTTTTTTTAAAAAAAAAAAATTGGAACTGGTAGTGGTAAAGTTCTGAATACTTCCTGTGTCAATCTAATGGTGACTGGAGAAAGCTATAAGCACAACCGCATGATAAGTTCAGTTGCTATTCCTTGTCTTCTTACACGATGTTCTGCTTCTGATGCTAAGCTGAAGTGCAAAATGCATTTTGTAGAAGGACAGTTTGCAGTAAATTTAATAGTTTATGGTATGAATATTAGATCAAACTCAAAAAGCTAATTTCTGTTTCAATTTTATTTAAGGGCAAATTGCAGTGCAATTGTTTCCATTGTGGGGCTTAGGGCAGATAGTCCATTGATCGGACTTAGGGCAGATAGTGTTGGAAAGAGAGGGTTTTAAGAACAAGAGAAGGCTAAAGAGAAAAGAGAATATTGAAGAGGCTAGTTAGGTTAAGAAATAGATGAGAGAAGATGAAAGTGGTTACAAATTTTATTTCACTTTTGCTTGATACAAACTCAAAGTACTAGTAGTACCCTATTAGGATTGTGCCAACACATTTCAATCCAATGGTTATAAATAATTCTCTAGAATACTCTTATATCTTCTATCATAAATGACATTAAATGTTATTCTAGATTTTTATAAGAATTACTCTAAAATAGATTTCTATCATCATCTATAAAAGATTATTTTAGAATATAAGCTTCAATCAAAAGCTAAAAATAACAATCGGCCAAAATCAAGTTTAATTTCTAACAACCTCTCTTAAACTTAATTTTGTAACTCCAAGTATTTCTCATCTTGGTAAAGTCTTCATACTTAAGTGGTTTGATGAAGATGTCAGCAATTTGGTCTTGTGACTTCACATATTCCACTTGCAATTTGTTCATTGCAATGGATTCTCTGATATAGTAATAGCATGTATCAATGTGCTTGCTTCTATCATAAAAAATTAGATTTGGTTAGGCCATTGTAGACTTATTATCAATATGAAACTTCATTGCTTCTTTTTGTGATAAATTTAATTCTTTTAATAGATTTCGAAGCTAAATTGCATGACAAATACATGAGATTGTTGCTACGTACTCTGCTTCACAAGTAGATAGAGTGGCAATTGGTTGTTTCTTTGATATCTAGATGAAGACAATATCTCCCATGAAGAACACATAATCAATGGTGCTCTTTTTATCTTCCATGTCCCAGCTCAAACACTGTCGCTATATCCAATAAGCTTGAAATCATTAGATGAGGAGTAGAGTAAGTCAGTTAATTATACATTTGATATAGCGTAGGATTCTTTTGACAGTCTTTAAGTAACTAGCAGTTGGAGTCTCCATATAGTGATTAATAAGTCCAATAGCATAAAGAATATCAAGCCTCATGCATGTCAAGTAGCACAATCCCAACTATGCTTTTGAAAATTGTAGGATCCATCATGAACTTCTTTAATATTTCCTTTGCTTAGTCTTCGTGTGAGATAAATATTTCATCTTTCATTTGATTGACTTCAATGTTAAGGTAATAAGTCATGAGCCCAATATGAGTTATCTCGAACTTCTTAGTTGTTGCTTGTTTTAATTCTTGAAACATCCTTGGATTGTTTCTACTTAAGGTTAGTCATTAAAGTACAAGCAAACAATCAAAATATCTTTATTCTTATTCTTGATGTAAAGAGCATGCTCATAAGGATATTTGATAAAAGTCATAAAACTTTTCTCTTACAAATATTTGTCTATCCGACTATTCCATGCTCTTGGTGCTTACTTTTACTCATAGAGAGCCTTCTTTAATTTTAGTACTTTGTCTTCTTGCCTTTTAACTTCGTATCATGGTGGTTGTTGAATATAGAATTCTTCCTCAAGAATTCCATTTAAGAAGACATATTTTGCATCCATTCGATGTATTCTCTATTTATTTTTTGCTGACAAAGGAACGGTTAATCTGATTGTTTTTAAATGAGTAGCGGGAGCTAATATCTCATCATATTCGATACCAGCTATTTGAATGTAGCTTTTTTGTCAGTAATCTTATCTTGCATCTTTCAATTTCTCTTTTAACATTCTTCTTTGCTTTGTACATTTGTTTCACGCCAATCACCTATGTCTTTTAGGACGTGAAGCTCTCCTATGTGTCATTCTTCTCGATTTCCTTAATTTTTTCATCCATAGCATCTATCTACTCTTTTCTTTGTATGGCTTCTTGAAAATCCATGGGGGCTCACAGTCGTTAAAGAGGCAAAAGAGAGTAAGAATTTTTTTATTCTCTGTTGCCTCATATATATCTCGTATGCTCTAGAAGCACAATACTCTTTTACTTGAATTTTTTTGATTATTTATAGTTGGTGTTACTAGTGGGATGTTGAACTCCTCTCTTGGTTTCTCCGGCCTTGGTTGCTCTATGTTTTCTTCTTTTTCTTCAATTTACAATCTTTATTATGTGATCCCCAATCCCATTCTACTTCTTCATCAAATATGACATCTCGGCTGATAATTGTCTTTCTAATATTTGGATTGTATAGTTTGCATCCTTTTGAGTTATTGTCATTGCCAATAGAAATGAGCCTCTCGCTTTTGTCATCTTACTACTTGTCAAATTGGTTACATGCACATGAGTTATGTTTTCAAAAAACTTATAGAAGATAGATGTCGGGCTTTCTTCTGCTCCATTCTTCTTATGGAGTCATTTCCCACACATTTCTTGTTAGTGATCGGTTGGCCAAGTAAATTGCACATGTGACTGCTTATGACGAAAATTCTTCATCAATCTCTTACTTTTAAGCATGCTCCTTGTCATTTCAAGGATGATTATATTCTTCTTTTGTGCTACTCCATTTTATTGAGATCCTAAAATAGTTATGGATCGATGTATCCCATTGGCATTATAGAATTCTTGAAATCCTTTGGAAGTGAATTCTCCTTCTTGATTAGATCGCATAGCTTTGATCTTGAGTCCACTTTATTTCTTAATAGTGGTTTTAAATTTCTTGAATATTCTAAAGACCTTTGATTTTTGATTCAGGAAATATACCCATATTTTTTGTGAAAAATCATGAATGAAAAGAAGAAAATAGTTACTCTTGTCGAATAAGCTTGGCTTTATTAGTCCACAAACATTTGTATGTATGAGCTCTAATGACTTTCAAGCTCTTGAACTTGATTCTCTTGGAATGATTTTTTTGTAGTGCTTCTCTAGTAGACATGCTTCACATAACTGATCAGGGTGTTTGATGTAAGATAGATCTCTCACCATCTCTTTCTTTAAAAGCAACGGTAGTCCGTCAAAGTTGAGATGCCCAAATCATATGTGTCATAACCAAGAAACATCTTTATAACAAACTTTGAGGCAGTTGATGACATAATTTTGAGTAGTTAGTAAGAACATTCTATTTCTTGACATTGACACCTTTGTAATCAAAGTGCTAATATTATCTTTTAAGAAAAGATAATTATCTTTTAAATGAATATTATATACTTTCTCCAAAAGTTGCCTTAAATATAAGATATTATTCTTCATATTTGACACAAAATAAATATTGGAAATGAATTGATGCTTCCTCTTCTTCAAGCAAGTAAGGATGTTATTTTTGCTTTTTTTACTTTTATTTTTGAATCATCTTCAAATGATACATTACCTCTCACCGATTCATCAAGCTCTATGAACATGCTTATTTTTTCACATATTTGATTGCTTGCTCCAGTGTATAGGTATGATGTTCCATCTTCACATCTTTCATTATCTTTGAAGGCTAACAATAAGATGATGCCTTCATCTCTTCTTTCTTCTATGTAGTTGACTCTTTCATGAACTTTATTTTTGGGTGCTCTACATTCTTCAGTATAATGCCCCAATTTATCACACTTGTACCACTTAACTTGAGATCTATCATACCTCGAATTTGAGTTCCTCTACCACGTCCTCTTGTTGAGTTTTCTCTTTCATAGTTATTGTTGTTGTTGTTTAAATCCCTTGTTCGCTTGCACAACCTCGTCATTGTCCACCACCTCATCCTTGTCCACGACAGCTTCTATTGTTGTTGTTGTTGAAGCTTACGACTGATTTGAGATCTAGCTTGAGGAGTTGTTTGGTAATCCTTTACTTCATATTCTTTCTTTCTTCATGGGCCTGTAATGAACTCAAAAATTGCTCTATCGTCATCTCTTTTTGATCCTTGGTCTCCTCGATAGTAGTTGTGATACTATCAAATCTCGATTCTAAAGATCGAAGAATCTTCACAATAATAGTCACATCTTCTAATTTCTTACCATTTCTTTTTAGTTGATTAGAAATGATGAGGATTCTAGAAAAATAATCAGAGACCATATTGCCTTCTTTCATATGAAAAGCGCCAAATTGTCTTCTTAAGGTTTGAAGTAATGGTAGCTTGCTTCATGGCCTTATATAGCAATACTTTTGAAGCCGCACCTTTTTAACATTCTCTTCTCCCTTGTATAAAACTTAGAGCTCTTCCTAGGCTTGCTTGGCTGATGTAGCACTTGAGATTTTGTTAAATCCACCATCATATAATGCTTGATAGATGAGGAAGAGAGCCTTATTGTATCTCTTTCTTGAATCTCTTAAGCTATTCTTCTTTGGTAAGGATAGAACCAACTCATCGCTTGGCTCATTGTAGCCTTTCTCTACAGTCTTCCAAACATCATACACTCTAAGAAGTGCCTTCATCTTGATACTCCAATTGTCATAGTCTGTTTTCTTGAACATTGAAACTTGGAAGGAAGACACATCTCCATTCTCCATCTCTATAAAGCAACTAGGATCTGATACCACTCTGTTGGAAAGAGATGACTTTTTAAAACAAGAAAATGCTAAAGAGAAAAGAGAATATGGAATATATTAGTTAGGCTAAGAAGAAGATGAGAGAAGATGAAAGAGAATACAAATTTTATTTCTCACTTTTACTTGATGCAAACTCAAAGACAACACCATCATTATTTATACTAGTAGTATCCCATTAGGATTGTGCTAACACATTTCAATCCAATGATTATAATTATGATGCACCGACACTTCTCCTCAAAGAGGCATGCAGTGACTGATACGCACCCGACACGACAAGCGTCCGACACGACAAGCGTCCGACACTTCTCTGACACGTGTCGGACATGCCGAAAATGTGTCTGTTTAAAAAAATATTAAATACAAATTGGACACGCGTGTCCGACATGCGTATCTTAAATATTTTATGATTTTTTTAATATAATTCCTTGTATTTAAAATTTTTACTTGTTTAAAATATAAAAATTAAATTTCTTATTTCCTATCCACAACACCAAATCAATCGTTCACACTTAATACCTCATTCATCAAATATTCTCATTTTCATTTCTCTTTGGCAGTGAAGGTATTTTTATCTCCTCTCTCGATGACAGATAAACGACATCGAGGCCCGACTCTCGTCATCCTAATATTAATCATTTTAAGCACAAATTTTAGTTAAATAACTTATTATTTTTAAAATTATACTTATTTAATTTTTATACACTATTTTAAATATAAAAATTATAATACTGTGTCCAACCCGTTTCTGTGTCCTATATTTTCAATAATTGATGTATTCCGTGTCCGTGTCATATCCGTGTCGCCGTGTCCGTGTCTGTGCATCATAAATTATAAATGATTATTTAGAATACACTTCTGTCTTCTATCATAAATGACATCAAATCTTTTTTTAGATTTTTCTAAGAATTACTCTAGAATAGGTTCTAGCATCATCTATAGAAGATTATTCTAGCAATCAAAGGCTCAAAGTAATAATGGGTCAAAATTAAGTTTAATTTCTAACAATTACTGCTTTTTTGGTGGTTCCGATCATAAGGATAAGGGAAGCTAAGGCTTTGAACCAAGATCATGCTTTCTTATGAGTTTCAAAATGCCATGAATAATGTGCTGCAATGCTTCATGGCATGATTGCATACATGATAGAAATAATGGAAGAGAGCATGAAAATGCCATGCATAATGTGCTGCAATGCTTCATGGCATTATGTCATACATGATGGACCCAAAGGAAGGGAGGGAGGGGACGTTATTAAAAGCACATAGAATAGTGCTAGTCTCATTGGTATCTAGCAGCAAAAGTTCCATTGACCTTAAATCACTGTGGAACACTACTCCCAAATCATATGGAGTTCTTTCACCTCCATTTTGGTACCTCATTTTTAGTGTTTGGCCACGTAATTCAATCACATTATGCACATGCATTCTCAAGTGATTGCATGCTAGGAACTCGCATACCTGTTGTATGCTAACACATTGACCTTAAATCACTGTGGAACACTACTCCCAAATCATATGGAGTTCTTTCACCTGCATTTTGGTACCTCATTTTTAGTGTTTGGCCACGTAATTCAATCACATTATGCACATGCATTCTCAAGTGATTGCATGCTAGGAACTCGCATACATGTATGCTAACACATGATTCAATCTTACATGTAACATGGTGCGAAATGAGACATGATAAACATTCTCAAAATATTATTTAAATCAAAGGCATGATCAAATTGAACTTTCAGTGCGTGAAAAAACATGAGATTAACGGACTATTGCATTTTATGGATTTTTCTAGAATTAATTAATCTAATATTGTAAGGTCATAATCACATCCCAAAAAGGGATCGCACAAAGCTCAAACCATTCAACTGAAAGACATGAGCTCTGTTCAATATTAGGAGTTTTTTTTTAGAGTTTCTCTTCCATATTTTTATTGCTTCTCTCTCTCTCTCTCCCCCCCCCCAAAAAAAAAAGTGATCAAACTAACTTCATTTTGGTGAACAAAGTACGATGGCAACCCTTTCATTTTTTGGCTATTTTTATTTTGTTATGTCACACTATTCTTTTTCTATCTTCTGCTTCCTCTAGTTAAGGCTTTGTCATAGAATGTTCTCTTCTCGAAGCCCTTACCCAAGACTGCATATCGGAGTACCATAGTAAGAGGAAACCTCCTCTATTTGTAAGCAATGGACCTGACCTATCTCTCACCTCTTTCTTTCCCTCCATTATCATCCACCATTTCCAAATCAAGTTCCATCTCCACGTATGGTCGTAACCACCCTAGTATACAGTCTTCAATCAGCATATGTGAATTTATTGTCTTGGTTTGAGGACTTTATTCCATTCCTTTGTGCATTTGGAGTAGGCGGATGCAATAATTCATATAAATTAAGGTTTTAAAAATCGGGCCGGATCGACCGGCCAGACTTATTCAACTATGAACTAGTCACAAGGCCGGTCTGATCCAATCTGAAAATCGCTTCTGCATCAAGCCGGATTGAACCGGCTAGAGGTTCAACCAACGAAATGGTCCTAGTTCAATTGTTGCATTATTTATATAATTAAATAAGTAAATTCAATACATAACAACTTAAATATTAAATAATATTCGTAATTAAACAAATTAATTCATATTTAAAATACTTAATTTTAAGTTAGCATGAAATTATTATTATATTTATTTGCCTCAAAGCACCAAGAATCATCATCAAATTGGCTCCACTCCATATGAGTTCTTAACGTATGAAAACCCAAAAAACTACATAAATAATAACAAGAAAAAGTTTTCAAATGATGTTGGATTAAATACATGATTTGAGGTTTATGAAGCTCACAACATATATATTAATATTTTTAAATTGATTATTTAATTAATTCTTTCTAATGTGGATACTATTATTTTTTGTTAATAATAATAATTTATTTATTAATTTATTCACTATAAAAATAATTTTATCTATTTATTAATGATAAATTATTTAACGTAAATAAATTTTAGATGTAAATTTATAAAATAAATTTGGCATATAGCCTATAGATGTAAAATATATTTAAACATATAACATAAATTAATAATAATATATGAATGTAAAGTCTTAAATGGTGACAGTGGGCGGAGTCGGCGGTGGGCGGTGTTGGGCGGCAGCTGCAAGTGACCGGCAGTGGGTGGCGGTGGTGGGTGGCGGCAGGTGGTGGTCAGCGGTGGTGGGGGGCCGTCGGGGGGGTGGTGGGTGGCTGTCGGTGGAGGGTTGCGGCGGGTGGCGCCGGTGGGTGGCGGGTGGTAGCGGTGGAGGTCGCTGACAGCGGTACTTAAGCAAGGAGCAAGAGGTGTATAGCATTATTGCCCAAAATTGGGAGATAATGCTTTACCTTAAAATTGAACTAGAATGAAATACATTGTATTTACTATACTTTATTTTGGATTTGCTTTTCACCCAACTAAACACCAAAAAGTGAAAAAGCAAAGCATAGTAAATGCTTTGCATTCACTTTTCCTCCAACCAAATAGCCCCTTATATTATTGTATGATTATTATACTATTATTTTTTCATTTAAATAAGATTTAAATAATTTTAATATTTATTTTGTCATCCTGTTCAACCCTGGTTGAACCATTGAACTTTGAACCTGTCCTTCCAGTTCAATGTCCAATCTGATTTTTACAACCTTGATATAAACTGTTTCCATGTATTAGATGTCATCTTTTCTGGGTGAAATGCTATTTTGGCTCTGTTCTGCCTTAAAGCTATTAGAGGCCATGAGGATATTGAGGGACTGAAATTCTTGTCCGATTCCCTTGCATGGCCTATGTTAGGCCAATGTTAGTTGGCCATTGCTATGGCCACCACCTATCTCCGCCACTTGTGGGAAGAGTTAGAGGTATAGAAAGCTCATTCATAATGAATGTTGATGGATTTTAATGTGAAATAGCATGGCTTTCTTTAACTAATTGATCACGTTATTTGATATATGTTACAAGATCTGATATATGTTACATGATCTTAGCGGTTTCACCGTTTTATCCTTTTGTGCATGTGGTTAAGCAGGTAACAGCAGCAGAGAGTAGCGAATCCTTACCTCTTGTGTATGATCCAGACATTATTTCTTTGTATTGGAGCAAGCGCCCAAGAGCTGTTGCAACTCGTATAGTACAATTACTGTCTGTTGCTGGTGGTTTTCTATCTAACTTAGCATTGGATCTGATAAAGAAGAAGATTAAGGAGGTGCTGCTTTTGCATCACCATCTTGTTTGCATTTATATTTCATTTTGTCAATTGTCAATCTGCTTGTAGAGGCCACTCATCCTGCTGTTTTCATTCTGGGTACTGGATGCTTAACAAATCTGACAAAATCTTTATTTTCTAGACGTCATTATGGTTGAAAGTTGTTGATTGGCTTGAAATGTTTTTGCCGAGAAGTCATTGAACTTAACTTTTAATTCAAAACCGAAAATTGAAAGCTAGTCTATATGGATTGAAGCATTAAAAAAATGTGGTCATGGTTGTATTCATTTTGGTTTTGTTTCTTTTTTATTTTTTTCAGTTTAGAAAAAAGAACTCATGAGAGCATGTTTCTTATTGTTTGGAATGATGTGTGATAAATCTCAAATAATTGACATGAACTCATAACTTTAGAGAAACAACCTTCTCTTCTTATTAGTGGGATATGAATCCTTTCACCAAGAAAGTCTATTTCACAACTTGGTTTTTTGGAAACAAAATTGGTTTTTTCTTTAAATTGTAAAAGAATTTATAGGAGTGATTTCAAATGTTTTGAAAACATGATTAGATGATGTTTTTGACTAATTCGCTTAATTTGGATAATTAGTTATTAATAATTATAATTAGATATTAATTAGTGTTCTAATTTGAGTAGGAAGATTTTGTTAGTGCTTAATTTTGGTGATTAGGTTTGTGATTGTTAATTTTTTAATTATCTGATGAAATAATTCTTATTAGCTATTTAATTAGGTCAATCAGGGATTGATTAGAGCTTTAATTAGTTTTTTTATTATTATACAATCACATTATTTCAACATTAATCGATTGTTTAGGCAGAATAGTTAGTAATTAATTATTTATTTATACTAATTAAGCATTACTTATGTTTAATTAAGATCATTAGGACTTGCAAGTATTTAATATTGGTACTTAAACCTTGAAAATTGACTATCAAGTAATTGGTATTTAATGAATTATTTAGCCTTATAAGGGATTGCTTATTATTTTATTTAATATTTATTTATGATAGTTAAGGTTGAAAATATAATTAATTCATAAATAACCGGAATGATCTTTTTTTGGGACAGTTAGGCCAAATAAGGCAGACTCACACACACGTCGCATACACAAGACTCGAACTCAAGACCTTTTAGTTGGTAGCCTAAGCTCGCAACGAACAAGCCAAGGTGAGCTGTGTAAATAACCGCAATGATTGGTGACTATTTATACAATTTTTTGGGGTTTTGTTTATCATTAAAGTCTTTCAATATTTAATTATGGTAATTTAGCATGGCATAATTAACTAATCAAGACATTTAACTTATTATTATGCTTAGTTTATAAAATTTATTTTAACTGAGTGAATAAATGTTAAATAATTAAAATATTAATTTACTTATGAGGTTATTAATTAGTAATTATAATAGTAACTTGGATTATTTAGGTTTTAAATAAGGATTAATCAGGAAAATTAGTACATTTATTAATTATGGATTGCATACTTAATCATATTAACTAAATATTGATTAATGTTATTTTATTTTTATTCCCAATTTTGTTTCTAATTTTTATTTCTAATAGGAAATTAGTAGAATTTCCAAACATGTCATTATTCTAAGTATAAAAAAAAAAAATCCAACATGACCGTAGTTTTCCTTTGTATCTAATTCTGTATTTTAATCCTTTTATGCAAAACTCTTGCAAAATTTTCCTCATATTTGCATTTAATCTCTTCTTTTATATTTTTAGAATGAAGTTACAAGAGCTATTGAACTAAGGGAGATTGTGACATCTCTCGGTCCAGCTTATATTAAACTTGGGCAAGCATTGAGTATTAGACCAGATATATTATCACCTGCAGCCATGACTGAGCTACAAAAGCTTTGCGATAAGGTATGGTCATGAATTTTGTGGGAGGTCATAGAATTAGTTTCAAACTATTCTTATACTAGGAGAAATCAGTAGTAAATATCTGCTTGTCTCCAATATGGAGAAATATGACTAGGTGAATATGGTTTCTTTGTGAATAATGCATCTTCACCATGCTGATTTGTAAGTGTAATTACATTATACTGTTAGGTCCCTTCATTTCCGGATGACGTAGCTATGGCCCTTATTGAAGAAGAGCTTGGTCAGCCTTGGCATGAAATCTACTCAGAGCTTACTGCTTCACCAATCGCTGCGGGTAATCTCACTTTAACAATTGAATGGTCTCTCTTTTATCATGTTAATTTATCATCTTCTCTGGAAACTTAATGCCCATTAAAAGATGTTACGGAAACAATATTAATGTTTGTAACTCACATTTCCTCTGCAGCATCCCTTGGGCAAGTTTACAAGGGTCGATTGAAAGAAACTGGTGAGTTGGTGGCCGTTAAAGTACAAAGACCTTTTGTTTTAGAAACCGTAACGGTAGATCTATATGTTATCAGGAAACTTGGCTTGTTTCTCCGAAGATTTCCACAGGTAGTTCTTCCATTTTTTTTGAACTTTTTTTTTTGGCTGAAGAACTTTCATTGCCTTTTCTTAAATTTTTATACATGATTCCCAGGTTTCCATTGATATTGTTGGATTGGTAGATGAATGGGCTTTTCGGTTTTTTGAGGAACTTGATTATGTGAATGAGGGAGAAAATGGCACTCGTTTTGCTGAAATGATGAAGAAAGACCTCCCTCAGGTGGTTGAATTTTTTTATGGTTATGAAATCCATTGTCAGTTAGCCATTCTCAATCTAGCTAATTTAACCAGAAATCATTTTTAACAGTTTATTAAACTTAAAAGCATTTCATGCAAGACAATTGATTTATCATGGAAGTAGAAACAGTTTGGAACATGTGTTTAGACCGCAAGTTTGGCCATGCTTTTGAATCATTGTTTCTTCTGGAGTTCAATGAACACACCGTTAATATAAAGAGATTAAACTTTGTGGCTATGATGAATGTGTTTTGAGTAATTTCTTTTTCGTCTTTAACTTAAAAATTTTCATATATACAGTTTTTTTCTTTTTATGTTGAAATCCTAATTTTGCATTGTCGTCATCATCATAATAGTCATCAGCAGCATCATTTGTGTATCCCAATTATTTTGTTTTAACTTCATGATTTCAGATTTTCGTCACCCACCAAAAAAAAACTTTATGATTTCTGATTCCCCATTTCTAAGCAAGTAAAACCAATTATTTGGAGTTACATTTATGGAAATTCGTAACCGAATTGATGTTTTGATGTATTTTTCTTATTTCTTTAGATAACCATATTGTCTTAACTTGCTTGCCTTTCTCAGGTTGTGGTACCCAGGACGTATCACAAATATACATCAAGAAAGGTACTCACCACTCAGTGGGTAGATGGAGAAAAGTTATCGCAAAGCACAGAAAGTGATGTTGGGGCATTAGTCAATGTTGGAGTAATATGTTACCTAAAACAGGTTTCCCTATCTACTTTGTATTTTATTAGTTTGCTTGAAGGAATTTTGCAGTTTTGTCAACAGAAAATAGCTGCATTCTGTTGCTTATCTCATTAGTGGAATAGTTGTGCAAATTTATGTTGTCCAATATAAACTAATATTAGTATTATAAGGTTGTGCATGTTCTTATTTGCTATTTGCTGCATGGAAGTTTTCGACTAGAATTTTAGCAAGCAAATTATATTTGAAAGGGACTGTCATGCCCTTATTTAATTTGGTCTCTAGCTTGCAGGTATTTTGATTTCATATATCTTTAAGGTTTATCTTGTGAAGTTAGTTAAAAATAGAAGGAAAACACCTTGTAGCTCTGTTGACCTGTAAACCTATGATTGGACTGGCTCCCACTACCCACGACTCCACCTCGTCGGTTCCCTCAATCCCACAATCTCCACATAACTCCCCACGTTCGCTCCTCACGGCTCAAAAACTCCCTCACACGATATGATCGAGAGATCCAGGCATTCAGACTTTGGCGCACACAGGAAGATGAGATATCGAATTCCCTCTTTTCCGTTCACAGAGACCGCATTGAAAGCAACATCTCGATTCCCCTCTTCCAATCCAGGATGCACGAACCCCAAATGCTCCCGCTCACGACCTCCGATTTGAGCTTGCACACCTGTCCGCTCCGTTCCATGCAAGCAACGCTTAGCGCGAGCAAATCCACGAGTAGAGCCCGATGTCTGCCGTTAGCGTGCAATCCAACCTCCCATGTGAGCCACACATCCGCCGTCTTCTATCCAGCGTATGACCCAGGCTACCTTGTCTGCTCCCACACAAGGACCCCGCCTCCATTCGTGGATCGGTCCCGCCTTCCTTGCCCGATCTTGTACACGTCAATGACCGAGCTGCCTCACTCTATGATAGTGTTTCTTGTTTTGAAATAGTAAGGAAGGAGGTCTTTATTATGTTTTATTATTATTGTTAATAAAATATTGTTTATTATAATTGCTATAATTAAAGGGATTCATTGTATTTCATTATTATCATTAATAAAATATTAATAATAATAGTTATTATAAGTAATAATTAATAATAATAATAATAATAATAATACTAATAATTGTTATTATTATTAATAAAAGAAAAACATACGCTGCAATCATCAATCGGAGGAGTTGAAGTCGTATATCGGGGTCGATCCTTCCCCTGAAGCCCTTGATTGTCGATTTAGATTCGATTGAGCGAACCTAAAAAGGCAAGTGCCATTCTCAACCTCCCCTCGTGGGGAGGGGGTGCCAAATGGATGCCTAAACTCCAAGGGGGGAGTCCTTGGCCATCAATTTGATCTGATCGAGCTGACTTGAAAGGGCAAGTGCCCTCCCGACCTCCCCTCATGGGGAGGGGACGTCGGAGGTTGTCGAAATTACGACGGGAGATTGCCGAACTTACAATCCGAGAAATTCAATTAAATTAAAATTTAACTATTAATAAATTTAAAATTAATTTAAAATTTGAATTTAATAATCACTTTAAAATTTAAAATTAATTAACCTAATTAAACAACTAATTAACTAATTTAAAATAAAATTAAAATTCAATTTTAAACTAAAATATAATAGAATAATTGATTAATTTAAAACCTAATTAAAACTTTAATTTAATTAAACCAATTAATCTAAAAGTAAAACTAATTTCTTTTAATGAATATTTAATTAATAAACCATTTAATTAAATTTTAAAATCTTTGAAATTATTTAAATTGATTGAGCAACTAACTTTAAAATTTAATAATTAAATATTTTTAAAATACTAACGAGCTGAGTAGTTAATTTAAAAATGAAATTTAAATATTGTAATTAATTAAATTAAGACTAAAATTTAATTAATTAACTTAAATTAATTAATTAATGCAAATTAATTTAAGTTTTAATAAAATGCATTAAAAAAATAACAAAAAAACAATGTTCACACTAAACAACCTAAGTGCAATACCCACCAACTAAAACTCAAACTCCTAAATCTAAAAAAATACTAAAACTGAAAGAAATCCTAAATAATCCTCCAACTCCTAGCAAGCTCTAGCTCCTGGTAAACACTGCAGCTGCAAGCTCAAGCTCTTGCAACTGCTAGTAACAAATATATGCAAACAAATAGACGAAAGTCAGTTCAAAATAAACAAAACCAGTACTAGAAAGAGCAAAATTAGCACTGGAAAGAATAAACAAGTAGGTAAAGCTACTAGTACAGGCAAAACTTGTGTTGAAAGAAAACTAGAATTGTGGACAAAACAAGATGCTAGAAATAAGATATTGAAGATAAAACAACGGTACTAAAGCAAATTATTTTATCCTGGACTTATAAGGCTACAATTTCTTCAGCATGGACCAATATTTCATAAAAAGTTGAATTGTATTTGATTGTTCAATAACTTGATTTGCAGCTGCTTGATACTGGCTTCTTCCATGCTGATCCGCATCCTGGTAACATGATTCGGACGCCTGATGGAAAATTAGCCATTCTAGATTTTGGTAAAATTTTCTTTCTTAGAATGCTTTACTAGCAATTTAAGATGGTAGTAATTCATTGAGAAACATCATTGTTTGGTATATCCATGGTGAATGAGCTGTCCTTGAAACTCCTTTCAAGTTATGATGTATTACACTTATTGTATCTTTGATGTTCGTTGAAGCCATTACTGGGGTGTACATGATAAAAAAAGCTATTTTTGGCAATTACTTGTTGAATATGCAGCTAAATTTGTGTAATGGTTAGCAATTTGATCACTAGTTGATTGCATTATGAGAAAAAAAAACTTGATAAATAATAGTTACTTAAATCATTCTGCTTTCACTCTGTGCTGCAAAGAGGTCGTGGAAAGCCATAGATGTCGGTAAAAAAGTTCTGAAAAATGCAGGATGATTTCTACTGCAGAACACACGCTTTTTTTCAAGTACTGTTTATCAAATTAGTCTCTCAGCCTGAGATTTTGCATAATCCAAGTCATCGATGTTTCCTGCATATTTTATTTTGTAGTGCATTAACTGTTTTACTTATTCTTATCTGGTTGGAGCTAATTGCACATCCACCTTGAGGAAAGGCTTTTTGTTAAGAAATATCACTACTCCGGATTGTTCTAGTTGGATTTCTCCATTGTGGGCTTGAATGTAATGATGCCCAGCAAGTTTTTTTATGCTGCCTTCAGAAAAAAAGTTTAAGCTTAGTAATGATAATTTGGAAATAATTTCACATATGATCATAGAGCTAGTAAATCCTAGCATTCCTACAGAGATTAAATTGGCATAATTTTGAAGATGTGAGAGATTTTACATTTACAAATATACAGAGAATAATACTATTTCACATCCAACATGGATTTTAAGGGAATTGATATGTATATTTTGGTAACATTTGTACATTCTTGTGAGGGCTTAGTAAATATCTCAAAGTTTGGGCCAACTTGTAAGAGCCAATTTGGAGAAGTGGAAGTCTTGTGACTGATTCAGCTGTCATTTTTCACGATGATTTAGTTGATCACACCTGACAAAATACTTAATCTATATATGCTTCATCGATTGTTGATACAACCATTTATAACCAACTCCAAATACAGTGCTACATACATTTCATGTCTGCATTGAATAATATGAGTTGCATTTTCAATCTTTACAGATTTCCATGTGCTGCTGTCTTTTCTTATTATTTATTTTAACGAGTTGCATGTTCTGCAGCAATGGCATAAGTTATCTCTATAGTCTTGTTGTTACAAATTGATCATGAAGTGTTTTCATCTGCAAAACCTTGTAGTATTTGCATTTGCTAGCTATTCTTTTGAAGTGAGCAAGAAACTAAAGTCATTCGTGCTTCTGCTGAAGGTCTTGTTACAAGGTTGACTGATGATCAAAAATATGGAATGATTGAAGCAATTGCACACCTGATTCATCGTGATTACAATGCCATCGTGAAGGATTTTGTCAAGCTTGGTTTCATTCCCGATGGTGTTAATCTTGAACCGATATTGCCAGTGTTAGCCAAAGTTTTTGATCAAGCACTTGAAGGAGGTGGCGCAAAGAACATTAATTTTCAAGAATTGGCATCAGATTTGGCTCAGATAACCTTTGACTATCCGTTCAGAATACCACCTTATTTTGCATTGATTATTAGAGCAATAGGAGTACTGGAAGGCATAGCATTAGTGGGGAATCCTGACTTCGCTATTGTAGATGAAGCATATCCTTATATTGCGCAGGTTCTTTTCTCTCTTTTATCCTTAAACCTTATCTTTCTTGTTTCACTCTTTGATAGCAAAATATTTTGATCATGGAATTGTAATTTTGTGGTCTTTCTCCATTTTTTAAACCAGAGACTTCTAACTGATGAATCCCCGCGGTTGAGGAATGCACTAAGATATACTATATATGGAAAATCTGGGGTTTTTGATGCTGAAAGGTTTATTGATGTCATGCAAGCATTTGAGAATTTCATTACTGCCGCTAAAAGTGGTGGTGGTGAGGATCTAAATGGGAATATGGCTGGCCTCGGTATTCTGCCAAGTCAAACAAATTCTTTAGTTCCAGGCTTCCCAATGATAATATCACAGCAACAAAAGCCGATTAAAACAAGGGCAGCCCTTGCCTTTCTCTTATCTGATAAAGGAAACTTTTTCCGAGAATTTATTCTGGATGAGGTAAACCATTACTAAGTGCTATTAGTATTATGAACTCTTATCCATTTGCTGATCTTATACTGAGCAAAGTTCCTTATTTTCTTGTTTAATATTAAAAAAAGGCAATAATTAAATGGCTACTCATTTGTATATCCCACTTGATTGTTTTTCCGCTTGGTTATCAAATATCAAATGAGGTAAACTATTGGAGAAAATTTGCTGATAATTTCAAGAGGAAGCTTTCAGTAAATATATACTAGAGGAAGGTATGATGCTATGCTTGGCGATTCTGTTGTAATTGTTGGATACCAAAGTAGGAAGGTGGTGGCCCACAGATCCATGATAGTAGGCTAATATAGAAATCTACATCACACAAAATCAGGGAGCTTTGGGAAACATTTTTTAATCATAATTATTACACTTTCTAAAGATGTATATGCAACTATGTATAGATTCCCATTGAATTATGATAATGGTCACTCTCTTATTTTATCCAGGATATCACATCTAGGTTAGGGACCTAATTTTTGACTTATTTTTTCAGCTTAATTCCTTTCTTTTTGCTCCATCTTTTTTTAGCTCCTCTACAAGAGAACCAACCATTACGAATGTTGAGATCTTGACCAATCCAATCAAAGAAGAATTCTAAGATTTACTTAACAAATATTGGGTGAATGGAAGAAATTATTTAAAGTGGTCTCAAATTTTGAAGAACTTCATAAAATGACAAGGGAAATTTGATTAACTTATTAATCCTCTCCAGAATTATGAAGATCCATTGTTCACACTTTGGGATAAAGGAGATGAAGGAGATTCCATGATCATATCAGGTCTATGGAACTCTATGTTGCCTGAAATCAATTGGCCGTGCATGAAAATAGTAAATGAAGTATGGGAGCCCCTAAGCCAAACATAATGATCTTTGATGTTGCTCTCATCTCTAAGACGAAGACAAACCCTTCAACCACCTAGCATGATTATCCTGTCGACATTGAATACTTCAATGCAATAAAGCCTTTATGGTTAGAATTAGATTACTACTTAGATCTCAAGATGAATTATAATGATGTTGTTATGATTCTACAATATTATGTAGAAAGATATTTGACTTTTTAATTAGATATTTGGTAGGTTAGAATTAGATATTTGAGTTTTTAATACCTCAAATAGTTCCTCCAATTTTTTGGTAATTGACTTAGGTACAACTAATCATGTGACTTATTCAAAAAAAAAAAAAACTAATCATGTGACATATTTGGCCAATATTCTCCAAACCTACCAACACTATCCTAATAATAGAAAAGAAATCAAAATAGCTGATGGCTCCTTAACTGCAGTTGCATGACAAGAAAATATTCTCATTGTACCTTTTCATACCCTCAAAAAAAGTTCTGCATATCTCCCATCCTGTTATAAATCTTTTATCCATTCATACAACCCCAGATCAAATGTGTAATGTGGCATTCTTCACCGATCACTATACTTTTTAGGATCTAATTTTGGAGAAGATAAGTTGAAAAGCTAGATAAAATGATGGGTTATACATACTTGAAGATAATAATGTTTGAAATAATCATTCATCTTTTTCCTTTATATATGTATTTTTCTAATTAAGACATTATTTGGGATCATCCTTATAGATGATCTCTGTTTAAAATTCTTAAATATATGTTCCCTCTGTATTCAAAATGTTGATATTGAAAAATTTTATTGTGAAGTTTTTGAGTTTGTTAAACATCTTTTGTTATCCTTTTTCTATGAGTGAATTTGAATCATTTACTCCTTTCATGTTAAGCCACTTTAATGTTAGGGGCCCTCGAATATCTCTAATATCTGTGGAACCAAGGGATTTACAACATCTGTTGATGATTGTTCTCTATTAATATCAGTTTATTTTATCAAATTAATTTCAATTTAAATTATATACTCCCAACTTTTTGTAACAATGATAAAAAAATCAATTTGGTTTCAACATTAAAAATTCAGGGTGGATAATGCCTACGGTTATTTTAACCAAATTTTGTCTCATTTCTTTAACAAAGAAGGTAATATTTACCAATGCTCATGTCGATACACCCATTTGTGAGATAGTTGAGTTGCCTAAAGGAAAATGACTACATGATGTAAGTGGATTTTAACATTTTAAATTTAAATTTTATGGGAGTTTAGCAAAAGGTTTTACACAATCCTATGGAATAGACTACCAAAAATATTAGTTTATATTGCTAAAATGTTGACCTATAATCCCACGTATAGGTCTGTCAAAATCGGGTCATGGTTGGGTTCGGGTCCAACCCGAAACTAACTCAACACTATTCTACCCATTTTTGCAAACAGGTCGGTTTTTCATACCCAAAACCGACTCGCTTCGGGTTTGGGTCACCCGAACCCGACCCGCATAGTGCCAATGCGTGAGTTCGTCGTCGAAGGAGGTACCTTGGATATGAAGTTATAACATTTTGATTGGAAGCAACTAAGGGAGTTCGCTCGCTGTGAAGGTACCAGCAACCTTGGCTCCGTTGTTGTTCGACTTCGCTCCTTGGATGATGTTCCTTTTCGGTCGGATCGGAAGTTGCAACATTTTGATCGAAAGCAATGACGGGAGTTCGCTCACTGTAAGTCATTGCCTCGGCTCCTTCGTTGTTGTTCGACTTTGCTCCTTGGACGACCTTCCCTTCTGGTCGGATTAAAAGTTACAACATTTTGATCTAAAGCAACGACGGGAGTTTGCTTGCTATGAGTCACTACCTCGGCTCCTTCGTTGTTGTTCGACTTCGCTCCTTGGACGATGTTCCCTTCCGCTCGGATTGAAAGTTACAACATTTTGATCGGAAGCAATGACGGGAGTTCGCTCGCTGTGAAGGATTCCGAGTCAAAACCAAGTCAATTTTTGGTTTCTGGGTCAACCCGAACTCGACCCAAAATTCAAAACATGTCGAAAATCGGGATGTGAACCCAACCGATTTCGGGTTTAGGTTGACCGAACTCTAAATTTTTGTGTCGGGTTCGAGTCGGGTTTGCAGGTCGTGTCAAATATTGACACTCCTACCCATGTACATGTTTGGCCATGAACCCGTCACATTGACAACGTGCTCCGCATGAACTCCGGTCCTCTTCGCATGCCTCATCTTGCGTCATTAAAAGGTCAAAGAAAGTGGCATTCGGTGAAAAAAAGCAACTTATCCCAATATTTTGATCTGAAGCTCCAATATTTTCTTCATCATGTCCTCTATGTTGGAAAACATTCCTTCCATGAATGAAATCATTCCTCAACTCCATATTTGAATTGACTAACTTCTCCTTCTAGTTTATCTTCCAAAGCATTCACTTTTTTCGGTGCCATTGATCTCGAATCTTGCTCTGATACCAATTTGAGAGGCCTTGATGATCAAAATAGCATAGAACAATATAAAAAACAGCAACTTATCTCCAAATGAATCCATAAATAATACCAAGAGAGCTGTTTTTACTAGTTTCCAAGTAAAGTAAGAGAATATACAAGTTGATTCACTGTTTGAGTGGTTAATCATCTCTCCCACAATTCCTAGTATCTACTATGAATCCAAACACCTCTCACAAAAACTGCTACATAAATTCAAAACATAACATAAAATCTAACCCTCCATAATCTCCCCTCTTAAACAGTCCAAATCCACCCCCATAATAAATTCCCCCCCCCCCCCTTTTCCCACAGAGTTCTCCCCTCTTCTTCTATAGCCCCCTTCCCAAAGAGTTCTCCCCTCTTCTCCTATAGGTGATAAAGGAGGTCATGGGCCCCTCCTAAGATCATATCATTGAATGGGTACTGATGTTTATGCATCGTTGATTAGGTATTAGTGGGCAACTTTCCTTTGATGCTTACTCTTTGTCGGTTTTTTAGCCGCTTCTTGCATGGCTTCTTGTTGATGACTCATCACAAATGACTTAATTCAATCAACTATTGGCTTAGCTGGTCTAAGGTCAGGTTGGCCCAGGTGAGCAAGCCCAAATCACCAATAGCTTAGCCCATCTCATGGAATTGACTTGATCAGCCTAGTCCATACCAATATGGCATCAAAAAATTCTTACATAACTCTAGATACCTTATTTATATGCAAAAGAAACAACAATCTGCTACTAAATTTAATCATTGACTTAAATAAACTTTAAAATGACAATGAAATCAACATAACAAAATGACTTACATAACTAATATGAAATTAAGTTCCAGAACTTTCTGTTCTCTCGGCAACACGATTTTGACATGATTTCTCTTATGCTTATCATATGTTCTTATAAGGTGGATCTAGGGAAACAAAGATTTTACTCTGATCTTAGTAAAATTTGGAAGGCAACTGGAATTATCATATAAGGAATCTGCTAGCACGATATGTGCTATCTTCTGCTAGCTTCTCATATACATTTATGGCTTTGAACTCAGCTGGTATTCTTTATGCTTGCTATCAGCTTTTCTGACATTTTAAGAGCTAGTAAACTTCACGTTTGTTTCTGTTTACCTGATCTAATAAACCTATGTCAAGGCGTTTTTTTGAAAACTTCTTTCTCTCAATTAATTATTTATGCTTTTCTCTGGTGGTCTATACAGATTGTTAAAGCAATTGATGCAGTTTCAAGAGAGCAGCTAGTACGAATGAGTGCGGCCTTCGGATTTGGAAGTATAGCTCCAATTTTTAGTATGGTTCCTCTCAAGCCCACGTCTCTGCTACCTACAATTACAGAGGAGGATGAAGTTATATTGAACAACGTGGAGAAAGTGTTCAAGTTTCTAACTGCTGGAACCTCGACTATGACAGCTAACCAGGTATTCCTGCTTTTTTTTCAAGAGAAAGTTCAAAATCATCCCCGATTATCTATATTTCATCAATTTAGTTTTAGGGTTTCACATATTTTTCAATTTAGTCTCTCAATTATACAAAATTGATCCCAACCACTTATGCTCAATTTTGTAAAGTAGACGAACTAAATTCACAAAATGTAATACTCTTGGACAATTTAACTAAATTTGCTTCATATGAATTGAGGATTATTCTGAACTTTCTTCTTTTTTTTTCTTGAGGATTTGCCGAGTCATATTGATGTGAAATAGATTGTTCTGGGGTTTTTAATCTACTTTGCGATTTACCTATAATCTCAAGGAGCTACATACATGTTTTTCCTAATAAATTTCGCTATGTAGCTAGGTTTTTACAACTTAATTATGTATAATTCCTCTTATTGTGGAGCCATAATTGCACAAATTTTTAATCATTTTATATATGGGATCCCATGAGTCAAGAGTTGTATGCCCTAATTTTCTAATATTTACCTTATGTGAGAAATTTATGTTGAGCACCACTAACTCATGATATCTCTTCCACTCCTATACTCACGCACGCTAAAGATTCCCAACCGAAACCGCTCAACCCCGAGCTCTTGTTTTCTAAGTACCGCTAGGAGGAACCAGGCTAGATGCTCGAACTCCCTCCCTATCAATCTCTCTGTGCCGCACACAAGTAGATGCTTGAACTCGCCTTCCTCTCGATCTCTCTATGCCACACACGGGAAGACTCCAATGGCCTCTCTTAGTCCCTCTCTTGTTTTCAATTTGCTGCATGCAAGAGTCAATGTTACCCTCCCTCTCTTTGTTCTTTTGCATGATCCGTCTGTAAAAGCCGACCCTGCTTGTTCCTCGCTCGCTCGATCCTTGTTTGACCAATGCCCACGCCCGAGCCCTCTCTCCCTCACACTCCCTCTCGTTCGCTCTATGCCGCGCACAAGAACTGCACTCGCCGAAGCCTCCCCTATCCCTTCTCTGTTCGTGTGACCCGACTACACAAAAGCCCAAACTGAGGACCATACTGACTCTATTTACACTGCTCGACTAGACGCTGTTGTCGTTCGCACTCACCACTCTCGACACCTCAGTCGTTCGACCTCACGCGTAACCTCCTATACGTGCGTTTGACTTAGTGTGCCGTTACTTAATTGCTCGACTCGATCAATCCCCAACCCGTCCTAAGCCTCACACTCGATTTGATCACTCAACACAATTGTACATGTCGTTGTCGCTTTCGCCCTCAACCCGTTCACACGTCCAACACTCTTCCTACACTAAAAAGTATAAATTTCTTCTTGCTTGCTCAAACAACAGGTATCAAAGACCCGCGTCCCTTGATCTTTGATCGCTGGGAAGAATGAGCACATACAATGATCCCGCGTTCCTTGATCTTTGATCGAGCTGGGAAGAATGAACATACAAAGATCCCACGTCCATTGTATCTTTTATCCCACATAATTAATTTAAAAAAAAAAAAAGAAAAAGTACCACTAAGCTAATTTTACAAATCATGTACCATTTCAATTAATTTGAATCAAGGCAAAATAATTTGATTCATTTTGGAGTTGGCTCAACGTATGATGCATGCAAGTCGGGTCTTGTATGTTGTTTGTAGGGACAAACCTCTCAATCTGGAGAAAATTTATAAATTAATGCTAAGGACCAAAGCTAGTATTTAGTTCTCTTGATAATTAATAATTTTCATGGTTCATTAAAATGTTGCACTCAAAGATAGCAAGATTGTTTAGAGCACTCTCAAATATTAATTACACTGATTACACAAGCAAATCAGACACACCATAATTTTAAAATTTAAACGTAACACTCAACATATTACAATTATAAGATACATTATGCGGTGTATTGCAAGTGCAAATGCTTTATACAATAATGGTGTGTAAAATACATTATGTAAAAACAGTGAGCTAGATGTGTTATGCAAGAATAAATGTGCTTTGCAAATATAGTGATTAAAAAAGAAAAATGCATTTGCAAATGCTAATGTAATATGCAAGAACAACGTTCAAAGTTTATCTATACAAGAGAAATGAGCAAATGCAAATACATTGTACAAATATAATGAAAATACAAAATACATTGTGCAACTGTATTGAGATTGTAAAATACATTATGCAAATGTAATAAGAGTACAAAATACATTGCATAAATGTAGTGAGAATGCAAAACACATTATATAAGTGTAATGGAAGTTTAAATACAATATGTAAAGTTATGCATGTGCTACGATCTCTACGTCTAGCTCCTAAATACGAGATTTGAGAATGCTTCGCGGATGTATTATAAGTGCTCAAACACCCCAACGATAGGCGTGTTGGCAGAAAATTTTAAGTGGAGGGAGTTATTTAATTTTCAAAATGCCTTTAAATTTCTAAAATCATTCATTCAAAGAAACCTAAATTCAATTCCTACTAAAAAGTTTAAATTTTTAAAATGAAATCCATCACTAAAGCTTAAAACAAAAATCCATCCAAACTTCGCAATTGTTTGGCGAGGATGATGAATTTAAGAATATCTTCAAGTCACAAAGACCAAATCTCTTGTCGAATATATTGCTACAATCCATTCTCAATTGATTTCTCGCCAGCAGGGATGTGGCACGTGCCCTCTAACCAGGTGGTTTTGTTGCAAAATGACACCACTATATTATGGTCATGACCAAAACTGATGCGAAACAATCAAGAATTGCACGGGAAATTTTAAAAGAATTACAAAGTTTGCTACTTGAAGATTAAAGTTTTATAAGGCGAAATTCAAGAGCTTTCAATTGGCAAAATTATTATGATAAGCAATTACAAGACTCAAAGTTTGGAGCAATTGAAGATAAATATGAAATTATCACAATAAAAACAAATGCGTAGTAATACAATCCCACAGTTAATATTTAGATAATTCACTACGAGTTACCATGCTCACTCACGCTCAAAGTATGGTTTAGTGAGAAAGGCTTTCAGCACACCCAACGATGCCACGAGGACGGTCGCAACGCCAATGGTCTTGATCCACGGAAAGGTCGGCGGTGGAGGAGATGGCACGGGTGGATGACCGTTGATGGTCCAATCGTAGTCCGAGAATTGGTAGTCGACGATCTCCACGAGGGTAGGGAGGATTCGATTCAAGTAATCCTCGACGATATTGTCAAAGCCAAACCCGACGTCGAAGAAGGGTGATCGAGCGATGTGGATGTCTCCGTAGACGTCGAGTACGAATCCACTATCAACTTCGGGATCCGCCATTCATCCTTGCCGGCAATGAAAGAACACCATTAAGGAGAAAGGAGATATGAGGTGGTGAGGGAGAGCATTTGTGGTTTGAGAGGAAGGAAGAGGGAGAAGAGAGGGGCGGCGGTTTTCCAAGAGAGAGCAATTAGGCTTAGGCCAAGAGCAATAGATCTTTAATCCAAAAACCTGAAATTAATTTCAGGTTTTAAGTGGATTTGGAGGGAAATCCAAATTGAAATTAATTTCAAAATTCAAAGGAGTTAAAGGGGAGTTAATGGGCAAATAATGGGAGCCCATCGATGGTGGCCGACAGCATAGGGAGAGAGGTAGGGGATTGGGGAAGGATTTAGGGAGTTTCCAAAAGGGGATTGTGGATTAGGAAAGTTATTATGAGATCTAATTTATTTTAAATTTAAATTGGGATCATGAATAAAAACTTTCCTTAATAGGAATTTCAAAATTAGCAAGATTTTGAAATTCAAAATTTGAATTTCAAATAGAGCCAAATTTTCGCTCTCATGCCCAACTAAGTTTGGAAAGCATTGTGATGATTGAAATCATCATCATGATGGAGAATTGAAGTGGAATGGGCGGCGGCAAGAGGAATGGGGAAGGGGCGGGTTGATGTTGAGGTGGATGGGTGGGGTTGAGGTGGGGAGCTAGTGGACGGTGGGCTTGGGAAGAAGAATTAGGAGGCGATCGGGATGGTGAGCTTGGATGGTGGTGGTGTTATGGAGGCCGGCGGGTGGGAGTGAGGGAATGGGTGGGGAAGACGATGATAAAATAGAAAACCACGAGTCGAGGACTCGTCCAACGACTAGTGGGCCTTGCACTTGCTCACCTTGAGCTCTCTCTCTCCATTCTCTAGCTCTCATGCAAGAAGTAGAAGACAAGATAAAATTTTCATTCAAATATTCATTAACCAATACATAAGAGAATGGCCATATATTAGGCCTCACAATGACAAATAAACAAAAGACAACAATGCCCCTTGGGCTACAATAGTGACTAACTACCCATAAGGGCAAAAATGGAAAACTAAAGAAATAATAATGACTAATACATAAAATGCATCAAAAGTAGAGACTCTCCATCGTGGCCATCGATCTCCTGTGTCGCCTCTGATAGACGCGTCGAAATCTCGTATTGATGTCCCCATCAAAAACCCATATGTTATCTAATGGTAAAAAGCCTATTAAATAATGAATTATAGGGTGTGCTCGATAAGATATAAAGTCCTATGTTAACTTAAGATAATCCCTCATGGCTGCCAACGAGATTCCTTCTATAGGTTGGGTCGATTATCTCCTCTGATTAAGTAGATTAGGGACCATGATAATCGGGAATGAGAAAACCATGGGATCGTGATTGGGCCGTTCATCATCCCCCCATCACCTGCTTTAAGTGTACGTTGATAAATTTCAAATTTCCAAAAATCGTAAAATATTAAAATCAGACCTCAAAGCTGCTGCTACCTAATAAAATCGTGAAATCCCTGGGTAATGTTTTATCTAAAATCTAATTTTTCTTCACAAAATTTATGCTAGAACCTAAACTCGTTGAAACTCTACCTGTCGACAAAAAAGAAGTGTGAGAGGCTAGGGCACGAATTCTCAGGGCCCACAATTTGTCTTTGTTAATACTTGCTGAAGTGAATATTGGCATAAAGTTTATGCTGGAAGCATCGGGAGAATGCATTTTTTCATGATCTTCTTCATTATTATTATGCACGCTTTTAAGAACTCTGATAGAATAAGCCTTTTTTTTATTAACTTTTTCTTTCCTGTTCATCTGAAATTGGAGTTGATCAAATTTAGTGGTGTCAAACATGGTAAATTTATTCCTGTGGGCGTGCGTTGGATATGTTAACTTAAGTAACTAAGTATTATAGTTTGCTTAGCACTTAGCAGTTTACTAACTTTTATACGAGGCATTTAGAGTCATTCTCATTTTGGTCTTGCTGGTCTCATTTTTTTTTATCTGGCTACATACTGTATATTTTCACTCAAGTTGGAGGATCAAATACTTCATTAAAGTTAAATTGACTTGATATGTCATCAAAAATCAACTTGATCAAGCATGAATCTTAGTGGACATTTGAAATAAAAACTTGTAGAATTAAATTCATGATCATCCAAAGTCTGATTTCAACAAGCTTATAGCCAAGCTGATTGGCTAGAACAAAAAAATCCAACAACACAACAAACGATCCAATCTGAATTCAATTAAGCCCAGATCAAGAGCTTAAAGCGTATTTATAAATTTTATAATACTAATTGAATGACCAAATGATTTTCAAATTTGACATGTTTAGAGTTAAATTGAGCATCTCGACTATAGAAAAATTCAATGAGCTCAATGTCGCTTAATTTTGACAACACATAAATGGCGAATGAACGCTCTAAGTCGATGGAATCAATACGGGTTTATTCGATGGAGTGTTGCATATTTTCTTCATATTTATAGGGCATGTCATTCTCAAAAATTTATAAATATCCATCCCCACTCTTTTTGTACGAAGAAAGACCCTTGATTATAGATTCAAGTGAAGTTAAAAGCTTGAAAAATCTTGGAGCTCCAACTAAGCACCACCATTGTCAAAACTTTGCCAACCGACTTCTATTATCGGACCATCGCCCAACCACCTCTATTGGACCATCGCTCTACCGCTTCCATAGGACCACCGCTCGACCATCGCTGCAGACTGTCATTGTTGAATCACCTCCCTATTGCTACCATCAAACCACTAATTGACTTTCGCAATCAGATCATCCTCACCGTTGGACCACTATCAGTCAGTCACAATTTTCGGACCATTGCCATCCCTGACCACAATCGTTAGATCGTTGCCGTTGGACCATGGTTATAGACCATTTCCATCGTTGAACTACAAACGTTAGACTGCCTTCACTCGATCATCATTGTCAGACCACCGTCACCCGATCACTATTGATGAACTATTGCTGCCCAACCACCCCCATTACCAATCCGCAACAATCGAGTTGTCGTCGCCCAATCACCATTATTGGGGCGTCACCACCTGACCAACTTTGTTGGACCATTACCACTCAGCCACAACTATTCGAACGCCATTCTTCTCATCATATCAACTTTGGAAAATTTTCTACGAGCTCCTCATACTCTTGTAGTCTAACCATTTCCAAATTAAGAGACATGCAAACAATTGTAATCTCACATAGTGATATCAGTTCAGCTGAATTGGGCTTTATGTCACCCGTTGTTATCCGTTGCATAGGAGATTACGTTTCAACTTGTTCTTTTAATAAGGACCTATAACACCAAAGCTGTTTTCAGTTACTCTTGAATGGAGTAAATTCATTATAGCAGAACAGAAAACCCTATTTTTATATTAAAGGCTGTAATATCTAATCTAAACTTATTATTTATTTTAATAATTATTATATATTCCTGCACCTAGATTATTTATATTTCTATTTTTCTTGAATTCTTCGCATGTGACCTATTTTAAAAATCATCAAATGTTGCATTTGTATTAAGAATGAATTAAAAAATAAGGATTAACAGAGTAGTCTGCAAACAGTTGGACAAATGCTAGTTCTGATGATGATAGAACATTGTTCCCTGCCATTCATTTTTCAAAGTAGAAGATTGCAGGTTGCATTTTGCTCATTTCCATCATCAGTCACATAATTCTCTATTCCCCCTTGTTTGCCGGTTCACACCATCAAGAAATTTGCACAGTGAACACAATAATTTAGAGCGATTTCAAACAAATTAATTGTAAAGATCATTATGAGCCCTTTCAGGACTTATTGTTTAAATCATAATTAATTGTGTCCATGATTGATAAATTTTAAAAATTGATGAATAGAAGTAATAACTTGCAATAGAATTGTATAACCATACTACATTGCTTTTTTGCTAATATTTTTCCAAATTTTGTTGCAAGCATGGGTGGATCTCCCTTGATGTCAGGGTGGGCAAATTCCCTTGATGTCAGGGTGGGCAAATGCACACCCTCAAAAAAATAAATAATATATTAGTGGGAGAAATTTTTATATTTTGCTCTCCTCAAAGAACCTTTTTGCCCTAATATTATCATCCTAAGCGTCATTGCCCATCCCACAAGTTCGCACTTCACAACCACTTTCACGATTCACGCATTTGAAATTCAAGACGTCGCCGTCTCGCAGCCGTCTTTTTCCCAATCGCATTTGACGTTCAAGAAGTCGCTCGTAGTTTGCACTTTGCCCTACTGGCCCTAGTCTTCGACCATCAATCTAATTTGAAGATAAATATGTAAGTTCTATACAAATTTGAAGATAAATATGTAATTGAAAGATAAATGATAAAAATTCTCTTATAAATTTGATAGCATTACGTTGGTTTTTATTGTTATTATTATTATTATTACTATTTGATGTTATTATTTTATTTTATTTTATTTTTGTTATTATTATTGCTGTCTAATTAATTAAAATTTTGTTCATCGTGAATAAAAAAATCTGTATCCGCCCCTGTTTGCAAGTATTTAATTTGACAGTCCATCAAAAAATTTGACTGTTACACCGGATTGTCGCAGGATGTAAACATTGCAAATATCATACAAGAACTCCTCCCAGTATTGCCCGGCATCTCCGCCAAAGTGTTGCCAGAGTTGTCTAGCAGGCTAACTTCGCGTGTTCTGGCTCGTTTGGTCCGAGACACATTTTTGTAGAATAATGCGAGGATTTCTTCTACACAGAAGCCTTTATCAACAGGTCTTTTTTGTACATCTTTATTTCTTATACCATTAGCTTCATGATGTATAAATTAATAAATATATGAGAAAAAGCTCCCCCTGCAGCTAATCCAGCGTTGAAAATGACCTGGTGTTGGCTAAAATCTTCATAGGGGCATATGATTTTTACTTGATATATGTACCGTTATGTCTTCATCTGTACAAACTCATTGCCAAGTTTGGTAGTGAGCTTTCAACTTTCAATATAGTGTTTGTCAATATAGAAAAGTTACTGTGCGCAAAACTTATGTACAATTAAGTGCGTTTTGTTACTCTTATTGTGTGTAGAATATTGATATAAATATTTAGTATATAATCATGTATTGTAACACAAATTAAATGAGAGTGTAATTCTATCAAAATTGGGAGGCAATTATGAAGGTTTTTTTAGAGAAAGTTTGTTGATTTGAATTCAGATTTGGGAGGGAATTAAGAAGATTTATTTAACGAAAGATGGTTGATTTGAATTCAGATTTGAGAGGGAATTAGGAAGATTTATTTAGGGTTAATTAAATTGTTTTATTTTTATTGTGTAAATTGTGTTTTACTATAATTTTTTTTGAGTTGCTCCTAGCGACGCCTTTGTGTTGAGTCAATCTATCTCTCGAATAGTAGATCAACTTATATCTTGACTTGTGTTGATATATAATTCTTTCTCGTTGATTTCTACTATTTTTTCTCTTTATTATTGCTTTGTGGAGATTGGATTCCTATCACTATTGCAATTATTTATGTCCTTAAAATAAGCCTAATTGGTTTTATCAGTTTACCAATATAGGATAAACCTTGCCACCACCACAAAAATAAAATAAACATTTTCTCTTGTTGACCACATAAATTGTTCCTAAAGGAAATAAAAATAGAGAAATTTAGTTAATATATTCTGATTAAAATTTTTAAAGTATGAGTTAAAGCTATTTTTTTAATTTATTTGAAATTAGTGTAATTTATGAATAATTAAACAATTATGTATTATGTTTATTTTAAAAGAACTACAAAAATTATAGAATTTATCCTTATCAAATCTTAGTCAACATATTTTTATTCATTATATTGAGTCAAGTTAGTAAAATCTGCTTAATTTAAAAATAATTATACATATACTTTTATTGTTACTGATCTTAAGTTCTATTTTACATTAACAATATCTATATTTAAATGTGTTGATGTAAAATCTAAATTTTGAATTATAGTGGAACTTGTAATTGATTTGAAATTAGGTAATTTGATTTCTAATCCAATTAAATTCTAAGTGAATTTTGTTTTGTTTTTTTTTTCTGTTTTTCAAAGCAGTCCTAATTGTACAAGTTACTAAAGATGCTGTTGTATTTTATGTTTTTTAACAAAAAAAAAAAAGTTACGAAAATAATTATTACTATTGTGATGGAAATATTTATTGTTATTATAACGGAAATAATTATTATTTAATAGGAATACTTATTATTATTTTATAATCTGATTTGAAAATATTTAAATTAATTATCATAACATTTGTAATTAAAACAGCCAATTTGTTTCTGGTTTATATAAGGCCTTCTTTGATACGAAGAATTGGATTTTTTTTTTTCATCATTCACTCCACCCTACATCGATTCATAGCAAATATATACATCGTTGTTCCTGCTTCCCATTGTGATTAGTGTAGATAACCACGAAGAGCAGACAACGATGCACCTTTGCATTTGAGAGGAGTGGAGATATAACTTTAAGAATAGTGCTTCACACGCCTCGGTCTACTTATTCAATAAGTTTTCTAATTGCAATTTTCTTACAGCTCTTCTATTTTGACAACAATCTTAAAGTTAGATCATATAGATTGTACAATGATTAACATTGCTAGAATAATTTCAACTTAACAACAATCAAGCCTTTAATTTCTCGAGATAGAATTTTAATAGGTGGCAAGCAAATGTTAAGTTTATCATTGGTATTGTTAAAATTGAGCATGTACTTGCCTTCTATGGAAACGAAAAATTATGATACCATTCTAGCCGATTGGAATAATGCAAATAAGATTTGAAAGATCATTATTCTTTATGCTTTATCAAATAAGTTATTTGATGTTTACTATATAATTGAGTATACTTTTGAAATTTGAAAAATATTAGAGAAGAAATATGTGCTAGAAAATGCAGAAACAAATAGGAAATTTTTTAGCCTTTCAGATCAATAACTCTTAAGGAAACTTTTGCTCATATATATGATTTTCGTGTTCGTATTGGTGAGCTTATGAATGAAAGGATTAACTTACCATAATATTTTGTCATTGCATTATAGATTGAGAAACTTCTTGATTCTTGGAAGGAATATAAAAATATGATGAAGCATAAGCGAGAGGATATTTTCACTGGAAACTAAAAAAGATTATAGCAATTTCTGTTGGTGGTAGGTAGTGATGTTGTTTGGAAAAATACTAGATAGTTTTTTAGTTCACTCTTTTTTTTCCCTCCTTATGTATAGAATGATGTCCTATTTATAATTTTTGTGAGAATGACATTTTGGTAATTTTGATCGGAATAAAAAGCTCTCCACTGTACAATTCCTATTAATCCACTTGATCGTAGATCATTTCTTAAACACTCTGAACGCCTTAATGATGTCAGAATCAAGTGATCCTAGGCTCATTATACTCATCTCGTTGAGCCGCTCGATTTTACTATAAGCATATTAGAATTTGTGATCATTTGGTATTCACTTTATGTTCAAAAAGTTCCAAATATACTACATATGTTTGATTTGCGTTCATTTGGAGTTGAATTGGGTCACTTGTGGTGTCTATGAATTCGCCTTGTCAATATACTCAATTCAACTATATAAACTTGTTGAAATCAGGATTCAAAGAATCACAAATTTAATTCCAAAAACCTTCAGTTCAAATATTACCGAGAGATTCATATCCATCATGCTAATTTCTTTGGAGACATATCAACCCTAATTTTGATTGTAAAGCGACATTTTGAAATTATTTGGTACTCCAAATAATATAATATGGATAAATATTTCAACCTTTTTTAAATTTACTGAATTATATTCAAATGAATTACTTCCAGATCTAAATATTCAGCACTATGGGTGTCAATTTCGGGTCACGGGTCGGATTTGGGTCGAACTCGAAAATGACCCAGCTCAATTCGGGTCAACCCGAACCCGACCCGTTTTTACAAACGGGTCAATTTTTTGGATCCGAACCCGACCCGCTACGGGTTCGGGTCAACCCGACCCGACCCGGGGACACGGCAACCCCGTGCGCAAATTCGCGGCAGCGGCTTCGGCGGCCACGTCGATCTGTCAGCTTGCTTCCGACAACAGCAAAACGATACAGACATCGGCGGTCACGTGACATCGGCGTCCGGCAAAGTCACGCGAGTCGCGAAAAAGGGGCCAACTGCTGGCCATTCACGCGAGCGGGAGAACCGGAGAAGCGATGCGACGCGGGATGCGAAGCGTCACGCGAGCAGGCAGCAGGTCAGCCGGGCAGCGCAACAGGGGGCAGCTTGGTCACATGGCGGGCAGCTCGGTCAGCGGGTCAATCCAGGTTATTTTCGGATTTCCGGGTCAACCCGAACCCAACCCAGTTTTTGAAACGGTCGAAAACTCTAACCCGAACCCGACCCAGTTCGGGTTCGGATTGACCCGAACCTGAAATTTCTGTGTCGGATTCGGATCGGGTTATCAGGTCGTGTCAAATATTGACACCCCTATTCAGCACAAAGTCAACTGAAAGCGGTGCAACAATTTGAATTCTTAGCCCTGCACAAAGTCCTGTTTTCCCGCTGCTTCCTCACGGCTAACCGTTTGCTTCGACCTTTTAGATAATCATAGTATGCTTGTAAGGTCAAATCGCTCAGCAGCAAAAAATCCCAATTCCAGCTCACGCCTCCATTTCTTCTCCAGTCTCTCTATCGCGATCGATTCATTCTCCTCGCCCCTTCATCCTTGAATGCGAGGGGACGAGTGTAGGGAGAGATTTTCTTCAGGGTTACGCACTCCATTAGGGAAGAAACTTATTAGGGTTTAGTTTCTGCTGGAGGAAGACAGGGAGACGGAGAGAGATGAGGCCGAACTGTTGTCGAAGCTGCCTTGTTTTCCTTCTTAAGATGCTCAATTTCCTGCAGACCTTCGTTGGCGTTTCGATCTTGATTTACTCGGTTTGGGTCCTGAATCAGACGATAAAACATGGTGTTTCCTTGAGCCTGGATCTCGATAGGCTTCCGGCTCCCTGGTAAGCGTTAGGTTATCCTTCTTTTCATTACCTGGAGTGCTTCCAATATATTTTGTTCTTGTACTGGATGGGTTTGTTTTGATGTTCTATCGGTTGGTTTCTCGATTAGGTTCGTCTGCGCGCTTATGAGAGTTGGGATCATGCTGTGCTTGGTGGCTTTTACTGGACATATTGCGGCGGAAGCGGTCAGTAGCTGCTGCCTTTGCTTTGTATCCGAATTAAGACCTCCTATGTTGTTTTTCCTGTGTTTTTCTTTTTTCTCCGCTCCGTTGGCTTGGTTTAGAATTAATTTATGCGGTCTGTAGTTTCAAAATTTTCTTTTTATAATGTTTAGTTAAATTTAAAATGTTTTAAATTGATATGGAAATGATAATTACCGAATTCATGAAATTGATTTGAGAGAGTGAAGCATATTTGGAGGGCAACTTTAATGGAATATATTATTTGTGATTTTTACTAATACAGACACCCTTGGACGAACAGCTAAAGTAAATAATTTAACTTCTCTATTTTGGCAGTTCCTTCATTCTTTCAGAATGCCACTTCAGCTCCTATTGGATTATCGTTTTCAAACATCATCTATTGTGTGGGATTGGAAGGTGACTTAAATGCATTTGATTTGCTTCAGTTATCATGGTGTTCTTGGTGAGATTTCCCTTGCATGGATTGACATTGAGCCTATATTCCTCAAGAATCCATTTTAGCTTCGGTTTTAAGGTTTCGATTATCTGATGAGTACTTTTTGTGGTTGAATTCTTGAGGAGAATGTCATGCTGAAGTGATTGGTTGAGGTTTAAGGACCCTTAAACTTACTGACATGAAATTAAACATCCTGAGGCAAAGTAACTTGTGGCTCAAGGAAAGAGTGGAAATTGGAAAAATGTTTCAACCATAAAAAAATGTGGTTGGATCCTTGATGCAATTGCCTGGCAATCAGATGATCTTATTCAATGCCAAGATCGATTAGACAATATGGTTTTAGAAGATGCCTGCAATAGTGTTAAGTTTGGATATTAAATTCATTCATTATTCC